TTGTTTGTGTCATCTGTGGTTTCTTTCAGCAGTGTTTTGTAGTTCTCCTTGCAGAGCTCTTTCACCTCCTTGGTTAAGTATATCCCTAGGTACTTTTTTGGTAGCTGTTGTTAAAGCGATTGAGTTCCTGGTTTGATTCTCAGCTTGATTGTTGTGGGTCTGTAGTAGTGCTACTGGTTTGTGTACATTGATTTTGTAACCTGAAACTTTACTGAATTCATTTATCAAATCTAAGAACCTTTTGGAGCAGTCTTTTGGATTTTCTATATACAAGATCATATCATCAGCAGACAGATCATTTGACTTCTTCTTTTCCAATTTGGATGCCCTTCAGTTTTTTCTCTTGCCTGATTGCTCTGGCTAGGACTTTCCATTAACTTGTTTTTAATACCTCTTTTACTCACTAAATGTCCAGGCCTGCACCATGCAATATAGCAGCCACTACCCCTGTGTGCTTATTTAAAATGAAATTAGTTAAAAATTAAACGAAGTTGGCTGGGTGTGGTGGCTCATGCTTATAATTCCAGCGCTTTGGGAGGCTGAGGTGGGTGGATCACCTGAGGTCAGGAGTTTGAGACCAACCTGGCCAACATGGCAAAACCCCTTCTCTACTAAAAACACAAAAATTAGCTGGGTGTGGTGGCATGCGCCTGTAATCCCAGCTACATGGGAGGCTGAGACAGGAGAATTGCTCGAACCTGGGAGACGGAGGTTGCAGTGAGCCGAGATCGTGCCACTGCACTCCAGTCTGGGTGACAGAGCAACACTCTATCTCAAAAAAATAAATTAAAATTAAAATAGATAAAGTTAAAGATTCAGACCCTGTCATACTTGCTATGTTTCAAGTGCTCAGTAGCCACCTGTGATTAGCGGCTACTGTATTTCTACCTCCCAGAAAGTGTTATTGGATAGCTCTGGTCTACACTGAAAACTTTTCCTGAGCGCAGAGACCAAATCTGCCCAGTGTACCACAACATACTAATGCCCAGCAAAGTGCCTGGTGCGTAGCATTAATACTTTCGGAAGGAAAGAAGGAAGTGCTACTTTTATAATCATTCCTTCATTTGATCTTCTCAACAAATCTGTAAGGGAGACAGGAAAAGGATGGCTTTGCCTTTTTCACAGTTGAAGAGATAGGCTCAGGGAGTTAAACACTATATCCAGAATCATAGAACTAGCCCAGATCATGGGCCTAGACCTTCCGCACTCTCTGCCAGTCACACTCTCAGTTGCTCCCAAGACATTTCAGACAGAATAGTGAGTAGGCAGGCGAGGGGCTGGAAATGCTAGGGCCAGCTGACAAATGAGAGCCTGGCTATGATAGAGTTAGGGAACTCTCAATCAAAGGGGACTTTGAGCAGGACTTTATCTACTCTCTGTTTTTTTAGGGACAAGGAAAGAGGCCAGGAGAAGTCACGTTTCCAAGGGACTAGTTAAGAGGCACCGAGAATGGGTTGGGATTAGACCTGGGAGGGATTGGAGGGAAAGGCCATGTCTTCAGAGATGTCACTGAGGGTTTAGAACAGAGAGAACAGTTTTGCAGTCTCTTAGTAAGCTCAGTCTGGTGGCATCCACAAGCTGGGCCAGAGCTGACACTGAGGGAGAAACCAATTGGAAAGCAATTACAACCTGGAACAGCATGGTGGCGGCAGGAAAGGGGAGGCAGGGTGGGTGGGAAGCAGTGAAATCTGAATAACATGAAAGAAAGAATACTGGCTGTGGAGGTAATACTCATTTGCTAGAGAGGGAATGGGGACCTTGAATTTTCACAATTTGCCGCCAGGAAACATGGTAGAACCGGTCAGAAAATAATTCAGGAAATATGCTGCTGTGTCCAGGAAGGTTGAATTGAGTCTTAGAGAAGATGAACGATTCACTCACAGAACATTTCAGCAAGAAGAAACTTTGTTAGTGAGATATAGTTCAACCTCTTTGCTTTATTGTTGAAAAAACTGAGGCTCAGAGAGGTGAAGGGGATGGTGAAAGGCACATCTTGTGTGAAAAATGAGACTGGACCTAAACTCAGGCCTCCTGGTCCAGTGAAGTTTTCATTCTGTGTCACAGGAAGATCTCTAATCTCACTTCCCTGCAGTCAAGATCTCGCAGTACTCACTTGCTGGCTGATAAACAGATGTTATTTGACTTTGTTAACATTGAATCTCTTCTCGAAGGAAATTTCTCTTGATCATAGATTGCACAGTGGATATATGCATTTAATCCAAATCTTTTATCATACATCCTTAAGACGGAAAAATACAACCTGTTCTTTTGAAAAACTCTTAATGGCTTTTCAGTTAATACCTTTGTGGTTTTGATAAATTACTCACGGTCTCCAAGTCTGTTTCCTCTTCTGTATAATGGAAATAATAGAACCTACTTCTCAGATAGTGACTGATCAATGAGATAAAATCTGTAAAGCACATTTCTACTATACGCTAAGTTATTTGACACTCTTTCTATTTTCTTCCCCAGAGCATGGGGTAGATGATTAAGCTAAGTCAATCAGAAAGATTAGAAACATGACAATTCCTTGAAAACATAAACCCACTGGCGTTACAAATAGCACAACGAATTAGCGTGGCTGAGTCAGTGGAAGAGACATTTTTCATGGAAATTGTAGAGAAGTCATTACAGTTCCTTGAAAATAAAAAGCACCCTAGAAAAGTATCGATGTTGCTCACATTGCTGGCACTGTAAGATTGGTGACTAAGCCTTCTCTTCCCTCCTGTCCAGCCTTTGGAACATAGTCACTAGGGCAGGCAGAGGAGGAACCACCCTTCCTACCCGCTCATAGAGCAGGTCTACCAAAGAGGCGGTAGAAACTTGAAAGTTAACCTCAGAGTGAATTTCCAATAGGCCTCGTGGATTAGAAAAAAAATATGAAGTCCCCCAGGGTCCCTCGGGACTATACCTTGGAAGATATTGGGCTGCACCCTCTCTGACCTCAGTCCCCTCTTGTCACAGGCCCATGTGGATCCTTAATAGCAGTGCTGGGGTTTGGGTGTGGGTGGCAGGCCCAGTGAGGGACAGTCTTCCAGTTCCTTGACCATTCCCATGTACGTTCACACCAGCCCGCTCCTTCCTGCAGCACAATGTTTGCTCATGCATACATTTACTCACCCAACAACTAATTATTGAATGCCTACTATGTCCTGGGCTCTCTGCAAGGGGCTGAGTATACAGCAGTGAGCGAGATAGACCGGGTTCTGCCCTCAGGAAGTTTCCAGCCTTTTCAGTGGGAAGAAAGACAATAAATCCATCATCAAACAAATGTATGTATGAAGAGAACAAACAGGGTGGCAGAAAATAAAAAGTGGTCAGGGCGGTTAGGGAAAACTCACCTGAGAGATGACTTTTGAGCCAGATACGAGTTGGAGGAGAGCAGGGACATTTTGGGCAGAGGCAACGGTTTAGGCAAGAGCCATGAAACAGGAAAGAACTTGACTTTTCAAAACCATCAAGCAGCCTTGACGTGAGGCGTTAGGACTACTCTAAGTACAATGGGAAAGTTTTAAGCCAGGAAATGACAGGACCCAACCTATATTTTAAGGTCACTCAAACTGAATGGAGCAGGCTAAGAGTGCAAGCCGGAGGATCATCAGGAGGCTACAAGAGAGGAGTGGAGAGGGAAAAGAAGGTCGCTGGTGCCACGGCTGCCAGGCTCTCTATGGGGACCATTGAGACAGGGGCCAGAAAGGGAAGAGATCCCCATTCAGCGAATGTGTCCAGAACAGCCACAGGCTTGGAGTACTGTTCTGGAAGCTGACACAATCAGAGATGGGATTTGCTCCTTAGGGCTAAACACAATCTGTACTAAACCTCCAGGATCTTCTCATTCAGCGCCTGGAGTGAACTGGTAGCTTCTTAAGATGACTCAGAGATAACAGTAAGCCAAGGAGGAACCTGTGGACAGATCGGGGCTTTGGAAGAGACCAGCCTGGTACGGAAGCACAGCAGGCGGAGGAGAGACTGCAGACTCCTGTGGTGTCCCTGTTTGCAGGGAGTCGGGAGTTTGGGGTTTTTTGTTACAAATAACACAATTTGGATATCCCTGGGTCTTAGCAACCCGGCGGGGAGCCATTGAGCTCACAGTGGCACCTGTGAATGAATTTCACTGGCTTGTTGCATCTGTTCACATAAGAGCAGGACTTTAGACCTTCTAGGTTAGTGTGTCTACATGCTTTTTCCATTATTTTACCCCTAAGGAGCCATTTTAGACATTTTCCTCCTTAATTGCAACCACCCCCTTTGAAATGTTGAAGCCATAGATATGCCATATATGTTTACATATTGTATGCATATCTGTGTTTCATATATTAAAAGAACAAGACTTTGTCGCCCCTCTGGGGGTGATACTGCCCCACTGAGAAGGCATACTGTAGTTTAAAGGCTCCCCCAGTTATAACGGGGGCCCGCAGAGAGTATCTTATCTGGGTTCACCAACCTGCCCACTGTGGTCTCCCTTAAGAACGTGCCTCACTGCTGTCCCCACTAGCAAGCACTGCAGAAGACCCCATACTTGCCAGCCTGTCCACATTCCCAAAGTAGCAGAAGCTTTGACGCGCTAAAGGCATAAGGTTCCTGTAGACCTCGCTGCCCCAAATTGTGCTGTGCATCTCCCAGAAAGGAGACACATTCCCTTCTCTGGCTCTGTCCCCTTCTGTGTCTCCGGGCCTGGAGAAAGCATGGGTGGCCTTCCTTAGTCTCACAGAGATATGACAATGATCCTTCTCCATCCCTGCTTCCAGGACCCCCAAAATGTGTTCCTTGCAGAGCCCTTTTACCAACCACCAATCAGCAGCCACGGCCAGTTCCCAGGGTAGACTCAACTGGTCTTCACCACATGATGGAAAGCATGTACAATGTGCTATCACTTACATCACCAGCGGTCCACCAGTGCCCCGCTTTACAGATGTCAAACTGGAGACCCAGAGAGGTTTGGTCTTGGAGCAAGGTCACACAGTAAGAGGCTAAGGCCTATGTTCTTTGTTCTGCACCAGAATGCAAGAAACCTCACCCGCAGTGCCTACACATCAGGGAGCCATGGTCGCCCCCGGTACGTCCTACTTGGGGTGTGGTCCACACGTCAGCACTTTCCACAGATTGTTCGTGGCCAGTTCATGATAAGGTAAGTGCAGGAATTGGGAGTAAGCAGTTAGAAATGTTTCTAGCAGTTTGATGGTGTAATTTTATGCCTATTAGCTCTAATTAAAAAAAAAAATCTGGGGCTGGGCATGGTGGCCAATGCCTGGAATCCCAGCACTTTGGGAGGCCAAGGCTGGTGGATCACCTGAAGTCACGAGTTTGAGATCAGCCTGGCCAACCTGGAGAAACCCTGCCTCTACTAAAAATACAAAATTAGCCGGGTGTGGTGGCACACACCTGTAATCTCAGCTACTCATGAGGCTGAGGCAGGAGAATTGCTTGAACCCGGGAGGCGGAGGTTGCGGTGAGCTGAGATCGTGCCACTGCACTCCAGCCTGGGCACCAAGAGCAAAACTCCGTCAAAAAAAAAAATCTGGGTTCAGGTATTTCTTTTTTTCATTTTATTTTTCTAATGACTCGTTTTTATTGTATTTTATGAGTGTCAGTCTGTGACAGATTGGATTTTTCTTTTTAATAAGCTATTCCTTCACTACTGATAGTTTAAAAAGCACAGTGTAGAGGTTGCAAACCTCCCACTTCCTGCACAGAGCATGGAAGGTCTTTGACCTCAGGATTAACAGAAAGAAAAATAACAAGTGGTGGTTTGGCCAAACTAACAGGTGGTCAGAGCCCAAAGGTCTCTCTTCAGTCCAGGGCAGACACAGCCTCAAGGTCATCAAAGCCTGGCTCCTGGGTGGCTTCTTTTTTTTTTTTTGGAGTCTGACTTTGCTGCCCAGGGTGGAGTGCAGTGGTGTGATCTCATTGCAACCTCCACCTCCCAGGTTCAGGTGATTGTCCTGCTTCAGCCTCCTGAGTAGCTGGAATTACAGGCACCTGCCACCACACCTAGCTAATTTTTGTATTTTTAGTAGAGATGGGGTTTCACCGTGTTGGCCAGGCAGGTTTGGAATTCCTAACCTCAGGTGATCTGCCTGCCTCGGCCTCTCAAAGTGCTGGGATTATAGGTATGAGCCACTGTGCCCGGACTCTGGGCGGCTTCTGGACTCTTGGTATTCTGTCCCGGGAGTAGCAGTTTCCTAAGCCATAGGTGTGCAAACGGTGGCTCCGTGTGCCTTTCACTTGGGGGCTTGTTCAGTCACACCCTCGACAGAGCAGCTGGGAACTTTAGGGATGAATCATCCAATTGCCCCTCCGCCCTCATTGTAAAAGTGAGGAACCTGAGGCCCAGGGAGGCCATGTCTTGCTTATTTTCCTATCTCCATGGACAAGGAGGGTGCCTGTCACAGAGGATCCACTGGGGTTCCGTCAGAAGCCGAACTCCAGTGAGCCATAGAGAATAAGGAGTTTCTCCAGGTTTCAGAACTCTTCAGTGGTGGGAGCTGGTTGGTTAATCTATGTAAGGGGTTATCTCTGTGTCTCTGCTGGGCCTGAGGTCAGCTGGTATGACTCAGGGAGAGAGGCTGGATGTGAAGGGGGAAAGACAAAGAACAAACTGGAATGGTATCTAGCTCTCACCACCTGCAATCTCCATGATGCCAGGGCCCTGAGGGACAAACTGGGGATTTTCACTCCAGAGCCACACACCTGGTCCAGGAGCTGGATGACCTGCAGGCCCCGCAGCTGCCCTGGGCCAACAAGGTAAGCCAGCGTTCAGCAACAGCATGGGGGAGATGCCGCCGCGCGCCTGCCCTGCACAGCCTCAGAGCACAGCAAAAACAGCTGTGCTCCCCTTCCACTTTCCAAATCTTGTGCACGTTTTTCCCCTGGCCACCCCCCGCCACCCCAACCCACGACCCTCTGGGCAAGGGAATTCTGGGCAATGTAGTTCAGCTTAGCTACGTTGACACACTATGAAGCCACCCCGATGCCCATTAAATGCTGAACGAACACGTGAATGAATGAATGAATGAATGAATGCATGCATGCATGCATGACGTGACTTGTACCGGGGCATGCAGTAAGCAGTTGAGAGGCAAAACTGGAATGTAATGTGGGGTGGGTGGAGGGGGCTCCACTGCACCATGTTTACTTCCGGAAGCTCAGCTTTACTGGAGTGAAAGCTCAGCCCAGCCACAGGGTCACCACAGAGGACACACCCACTGCTCAGGTGTGAGGCCTGTGGCTCAGACTTTCCCCAGAGCTCTCTTTAGAGTTGAATTCCACACGTGTTTAATAAGCATCCAGCATGTGACCCACACCAAAGACTCCATGCTGATCAGACTCCGCCTCTTCTCACAGGGAACTTCTAGGCTGGCTGGTGGAGGTAGATGCACATGTAATTTGATGCTGTGTATATAAGAAGTGCTTTGGGAGCCCAAAAAAGAGGACTCCTGACTTTGCCACAGTGGAGGCCAGTCACTAGGGGAATCTTACGGTGGAATTAGAGTTGCAGGCAGCCAAGGTGGGGAAGGGCACTCTGGCCAGGAGATGAGCACGGACCAAGGGCCAGGAGGACTGGCAGGCCATGGCCGTTCGTGGGAAACGGGGACCCACCCTGCATGACCGGAGGGAAGGATGACTGGAGGAAAGAATAGAGCCAGGAAAGTGAGGTAGGTGCCGGACCACCAAGGCTCTTAAATGCTGGGTGCAGAACTCTGGCAGGAACATGCAGATGGCTGGACCTGGGCAGTGCCTAGGGCTGGTGAGAGAAAATACACTTTTGAGACAACTGGGGGAGGAGTTGACTTGGCAGACCCAGAGGATCTCTTTGAGGGTGTGAGAGGTATAGGTTTGACACTAAGGGCTTAGAGCAATGGCAGAGATGGATGAGGAAGCCCCTCCCTGTGCCACACCCAATGTCAGGGCCTGGGACAGGAGGTGAGGAGAGGTGAGACCAGCAGCCTCTTTTACTCCCGACTCCGGGACAGACTCCTACAGGCAGGAAGGTCTCTAGTGTTTGCCAGTCTGCCGGTGCCTGTCCAGACAGGATTCCCAGATGACTCAGAGACCTCCAGACTGCAGGAGGTTCCTTCTAGTAGCCAGCACTGGAGCGGGCTGACTCCTGCGCACACTGACCGCCGAAGGTTGGCCACCTTGGAACAAAGGAGGTGGTGCCTTGGGCTTGAAGCAATCTACCACCCTTGGAGAAAGCAGAATCACAGATGAGAGAGGAATTTAGAGGCTATCTACTCGAAACCATTTTCTTTACAAGAAAGAGAAAAGCCAAGCAGACAGAACCAGGGCAGTGAACTTGAGCCTATCCTGTCCCCATGTGGCATCCTTCTTACCACAGTGCGCTGTCATCTGGTTTCCCCCTGCTCGACTTGGCCTTCAGATGGAGATGGCCAACGACATTAAGTGGTGGTGCTAGGGTAGGGTGTCATCTCCCTTGAGGGCAGGACCCAAAGGTGAAAGATGTTGCTCATTAGCACATTAGCTCATCAGAGAGAGAGGTCAGCCAAATCTGAAAAACCTTTGCACAGATGAAGCAATTGGTCAGTGACTGCTGCATTTCAGTGATGCTTTATTTATTTTATTGAGGTTTTGTATGTGTTTTTGGTGAGAGGGTGGATCCGGATGTCTAGACCATCCTAGTCTTAGAAATAGGAAACCTCTCAGATTTCCTTCTGTGTGACTTTGGATAAGCCAATCTCTGGGCCTCAGTGTCCCTGTCCTAAGGTAAAGTCAGAGAGTTGCCAGGCTGCTCTCTGCCCCAAGGTACAGCACTCCTACCCTGTGGTCTCTTGGCCTGTGCCTCCACCTGTATTTTCGAGGGCTCCTGCCCTGCTGGCACCTTGACCACATTCCCCCTCTGCTTCAGCACTGCCCCCCTAGCTGCCACAGGCTCTCTTTCCTTGGTGGCATCTCCTCTGCCCCTCCCCAGCCTCTCAAAGTTGGCCATATACCAACTTGACTCAGAAGACATCTGTCCTCTCTCAGAGCTGAGGTCAGTGCCTTAGTGATAACAGCCAAGACAAATATGCATGATAAGACCTGATCCAATACCACAAGCAAATGCAAGCATTGGAGGGTGATGCTTACTGGGTCAAAGAGCTCCAAAGGGTCTCAGAGTCTGGATCCTGGGGGATCCCCCTGTGATCTCCCTGTGCTGTGTCTGGGCCCCCTCCTCTCACCTTAGTGTTTGCTGAGAGATGCAGCATTAGGAGGCCACAATTTGCCTGGTATAGGGTTGAGAGAACCTCTTGGGTTGAGGGTCTCAGGTTGAGAGACCCTCTCAGGTCTTACCAAGCTAGCGTCCAGCTCCTACCTCCCAGCCTTTGGTTTGCAGCATGGCTGACTCTCACTGCTGGTGCCCAAACGTGGTGTGACCCAAAGAAGACAACATATGGAGAAGTGGGCACTACTTTATGATCCCCATTTTACATCAGGGAAATTGAAGCTCTGCAAAGTTAAGTCGTTGGAGTTTGACTTTTTAGGTCTGATTCCAAAGTATACTCTGTTCTCTAACTAGGCTTACTTCTGGCTACTCATTTAACGTGTTCAATGCTGTTTCCCCATTTGTAAAAAAGAGAAACATACACATCCTGCTTGCCTCAAAGGGCTGTTGTGACAATCATTTGAAATAACTGATAGAAAAAGCACTTTTAAAATTGATACGATGCAAGTTAAATGCTTCCCTCACCTATCTATATATATGACATCTACGCATATTTATGATGTTGGAGCTGACCACAACTTAGCATCTGATCTAATCAACTGATTTGACTGGACATGAAACTAATCTCAAAGCTGGGTGGCTGCAGAGCCAGGACTAGAGTTTATGTCTTTGAGTTTCTGTTATAGGGCTTTTCCCCCAAGGGGTCTTCAGGAGCCATCAGGGCTGGGCAGAAGCGGTGCCCCTGCTTCCGTGGCAATTCTCCTGTGCATTTTCCTTCCTCCCCCATCCCTACTGAGTTCTCTAGGCCACAAGAAACCACTGAAAATTTGGGTGCAGTGAGATCTGGCCTCAGCAAGATGGCCCTGCAGCTGTGTGTGCAACAGCTGTCTGCCTTGGCCAGCGCAGGCAGCAGCAGAGGCAGAAGAAAACACCACTGGGGGTTCAGTCTGCTGAACACAATTTTTTTTTCAAGGGTGGGCAGTGGGAGATGAGAAGCAGCAAAAGACATTCTGGAATTCTGAGACCAAATCACAGGAGGAACAGTGGTACCATGAATAGAAATGAAGGAGTTAAAAGGAAGAGGCGGTTTTTTGAAGGGACGAGGATGACCTCAGTTTGGGGCCAGAAGCGGTGAGCGTTGGACCTGGATAGGTCCCAGAGCACATCTGGTGCGACTTCTCCCTTGCCCTCAGGGGGCTGTATTGTCTGAGCTGCTAGCAGGAAACTCAGTTTTGCATGTGCAAGAGCTGACTAGAAATCTGCTCTGGCCCTGGGAAAGGCCTGTGGATGTCCATTTGATACACAGTCATCTCCCAAAAGGAGAAAATGCCGAGTGAGTCAAGGGCCCGGAGCATTTGGAGGGGAGGAGGAAGAGGAGGAAGGGGAGGAGGAGAAAGAGGGAGATGAGGAGAAGGGGGAGGAGAAGGAGGGGGAGGAGGAGGGGGGAGGGAGAGGAGGAGGAGAAGGGGAAGGAGGAGGAGAAGGGGAAGGAGGAGGAGGAGGAGAAGGGGAAGGAGGAGGAGGAGGAGAGGGAGGGGAAACAAATGGAGGAGGCAGGAAGGGGGTGGTCCAGCAGCAAACTGGGAACTGTGTATTGTCAGAGAATCTGAAAGCATGGCATTTCAGGACATCAGCCTGCTGGATGCCTCGAAGAGGTCTGAGAAGGCACGGCTGGATTTGCTGACCTTTCAGAAAGGGTTCCAGAAGGCTTGATGGGAGCAGGCCAAGAGGGCTGCCTTCAGGGTCTGGGGTTTGTGTTTCAAGACTCAATCTATCATGGGCAGATGGAGGGACCAGACTTATCTCTATGAGCGCCCATGTCTTCATCTGGAAAGACACAGTAACAATACCTACCTTATGCCTTGTCATGAGGATGAAGCTAGGAGGAAGAAGGATAAGAATCACCACCTACTGAATGCTTCCTCAGCCCCGGACAGCGTGCAAATGCTTTTGTCCATTATTTGAAAGTCCTTTGCACACCTAAATTGATAAGCCCATCAGAAGGATGGTTATCTTTACTATTAGAATCAGAGAAGACTGCAATGATCTGAGAAATGGATGGGACAGAAAGTAGACCCAGAGGCCAGGCACAGTGGCTCACGCCAACACTTTGGGAGGCCAAGGTGGGAGGATTCTTTGAGTCCAGAAGTTCAAGACCAGCCTGGGCAACATAGCGAGACCCTGTGTTTACAAAAACTTAAAAAATTAACCAGGCATGATGGTGCGTGCCTGTAGTCCCAGTTACCAGGGAAGCTGAGGTGGGAGGATCGCTTGAGCCTGGGAGGTCGAGGCTGCAGTGAGCTGTGATTATGCTACTGCAGTCACCCTGGGTGACAGAGCAAGACCCTGACTGGAAGGAAGGAAAGAAGGAAGGAAGGAAGAAAGGAAGGGAGGGAGGGAGGGAAAAAAGAACCAAAGAGAGCTATTCATTCACAAAATTTGACAATGAATTGACTGTGATAGATAGGGGTGATGGCTTGAGAAGGACACAACTCAGATTTTTTTAACGATTGGTTGATAAAGATGATTTATCATCCAAGGAAAGGAAGAGAAGGAAGAGGCCAGGAAAGGTATTCTGCTGGTCCTTTGCCCACCAGGTGCTCCGTGTCAGTGTCACAGTCCCTCTCGTTTCCCTGCTGGCTGCTGGGTGGCTGAAGGATGCCTTTCACTTTCACTCTGCCTCTAATCAGCCAGTGTCTTTGCTCCCATGACCCTGTGAGTCCCCCAGCAGACCTCAGACTCCTTGTGAGGACAAGATGGAAAACCTCCCCCACCCATTCAGTGGGGATTGGTGGCATGGGCTCCAGCGCACCAGGCCCCGTCTCCCAAAGCACCACCCCCACCCAGCCCAGCCTTTCACCCACTTGGCTGCCTGAAAGAGTCTGGGCTCCAAGCCACCCAGGCCAGTCTCTTTTGTCCCTGATCAAGTACAGTACGATGATCACAACAAGGTCCTGGCAAGATCCCCAGGAAGCTGCAGTCCTTGGTGCTGCTTGGGGATGGAGGGTGGGAGGATTCTGTGGGGCAGGAGGAAGCCATGGGAACCTCGTTCTGCTCTGAGATCACCCCTTTTCCCAAGCTACTTCGGGGTTGTATGGATACTATGGGGTTTTCTCTTGGCAGACTGTCTCTGGACAGTCTCATCAGTCTCTCCAAGTAGAGAGAGCAAGAAATAAGACAGGAGCAGGATTTTAAGACCAGCTTGGGCAACGTAATGAGACACTGTCTGTACAAAAAATTAAAAAATTAGAGGGCAGGGAGGCACATGGCAGTGTCCGGTGTGGGGTCAGCCCCCTAAAGTTCTATCTTTTGTTTTTTTGAGACGGAGTCTCGCCCTGTTGCCCAGGCTGGAGTGCAGTGGCGGAATCTCAGCTCACTGCAAGCTCCACGTCCTGGGTTCACGCCATTCTCCTGCCTCAGCCTCCTGAGTAGCTGGGACTACAGGCGCCCGCCATAGCACCCGGCTAATTTTTTCGTATTTTTAGTAGAGGTGGGGTTTCACTGTGTTAGTCAGGATGGTCTCGATCTCCTGACCTCGTGATCCGCCCGCCTCGGCCTCCCAAAGTGCTGGAATTACAGGCGTGAGCCACCGCGCCTGGCCTAAAGTTCTCTCTTAATTCAGGCCTCCCCTCCCCTCTCCTTGAGCACTGCCCTCATCTTTGAACTCATTGCTGTTCCCCAGTTTCTCCCTTACATCCCAGTCCAGCCCCAGCCTCTGAAGTTCTCTCTCTACATTATGGATCTGATCATAGCACACCTGCTTTACGGATGTCCAAGCCCCCTCCATGGTCAAGTCCTCCATTCTTACCCCTTACTGAGGCAGCTGGGGCTTTGCCCAATCTGAGCCCCATCTACCGCTGGTCTCACCGGAGCCATTCTTTGAACTTCATTCATTCATTTGTGTCTTCAACACAACGTTTTTATGTGTTTTCAGGACCTACCCTGGCTAGTGTTGTGCTGGGAGCCACTGGGGACCCCAGGCCCTGGCCTGTCCATACTTCTCAGCCACCCTACACAGGCCACCCACACGTGCTGCCTTTTAGGGCCTGAACCTTCAAAGGCTCTGAGATACTCCCTGGTTCTGCCTTTCAGATATCACTCCCTGCTTGGAGCTCCACACCCTTTATAAATGTTCATTGAAGTTATCTATACGGTGTGTTAATCCATTTCTGAAAAAATAATTTTCTTGGTTCCATTTCCATCAACCTTTGACAGATATCAAGGTCACTGTACTCTCCGGAGGTCTTACTTCATCCTCTTATCTGGTACGGAAGGCTTTTGTTTGGGATGTCTGCTTCCATTCAAAGACAGAGAGGCCTTGCTGTCTTTATGTCTGCAGTTTGTGGAGTGAATGAGGGATGCTCAGGGCTTACACCAGAATGAAATGCGATGGGGGAGGTTGGGGACTGTGTAAATGTGAGGAAAGGGAGCCCATCTGGCCCCCCAGTACAACTCCACCAGTTGGGCAGAGTGATCTCCCCACCACCCCTGCGTCAGTGTGAAGTTTAGATAGGGCCCGTTTGACCATCTCTCTCAATCTCAGCCTCTGTGAGATGTCATAATATGGGTCCTGTTTACCTGTCAGCCTGTGGTGAGAATCTAATGATTAGCGTGTGCTAGCACACAGGCACCTGTAAATCCCATTGAAATCAGGGCCCTGTAACTCCTCTCCTGATTCCCAAGCCTCGTGCACCCCACCCGCTCTGTTCCTGCTTACTTCCCACGTGTCCCGTTAGCCCTCGGGATGCAGTCAGGCCCATTTCCCCAGGATGCCGTCACTAAGCCGCCTCATCCAGCTGGGGTCTGAGGGGCCTGCCTCTCGCCCCACGCCTAAAAATCCTAACCCTCCCCCTATCCCTTTGATACGGTGGTCTTTATTTCCTGGAGTCTGTACAACATCACTCCCCAGTGATGCGTCTGCTTCCACGATTCCCAAAGAGACTGAGCTTACTGAGACCAGGGCAAGGACCGCGTCGCCCCCTTCCTCTGCCTTCCCCTCCCTTCCTCCTCACCGCGGCCATGACGCCCAGCCCAAGAAAGCAGAGCAGAGGTTCCGCAATTCTTTTCTAAGACTGTCTGATGAGAGGGTTCAAAGCACTCTAACCCAAGGCCGGCTCGTGTCTCTAGGGAGGTTGCAGGAAGGCGCCAGAATGTGGATGCTGCGGACAGTGTGGGATACTGGAGTCTCGACTGCTGCGCGCCAAGGAAGGGCGTCACCTAGCCAAGCCGGCCCTGGAGTTGAGTGCCCCGCAGCCCGCCAGTCCGCCCGCCCGGCCGCTTGCTGGCACCCTGGTGGCCGCGCCGGCTTTGTACCGGCATCAGGTGCAAACCCCAGAGTGCCGGGCGTGCGCGCACGCGCTCCGGAGCGCGCGGAGCCCATTCGTCGCTCCCACCCGGATCTCCTCTGGGATCTCCGGCGCCCGGGGCCGGAGCGTGGGGGAGGGAGGAGGTCGGACACGTAGCCTGCCTCGCAGCAGGGCTCGACTCCACGCGGGAGGGCGGGGGAGCCGGGGACCCGCCGCTCCAGCCCGCTGGCCTTCGAAAGATCCTCCTGGGCCAATGGCAGGCGGGGCGACGCGACCCGATTGGTGCAGGCGCTCTGCTGATCGCTGTGGAAACCCGGGCGGCGGAGAACGCGGGAGGATGAGGAACCCGAGGCGGGGGGAGCCGGAGGGGCGGGCAGAGGTGGTGTCGAGGCCCTGAGCTCCCGGGGAGTTTTTACTGGAGGCAAAAGTCCATAGCGGGCGGGCTGAGGGAGGGGCGGAGGAAGGGGACCGCTTTGGGGCACTGGGAAGCCAGGGATCCTCCGCCAGGAAGGCAGGGACACTCCCGAGCTTAGACGAGGAGGCTGGGGGAGGGGGCGCGGTGGGAGGAGTAGGAGAAGACAAAAGCCGAAAGCGAAGAGGGCCCGGGCTGCACACACCGGCTGGGAGGCAGCCGTCTGTGCAGCGAGCAGCCGGCGCGGGGAGGCCTCAGTGCACCGGGCGTCACAATAGGCAGGCAGCATGGGGAAGGGGGGTAACCAGGGCGAGGGGGCCGCCGAGCGCGAGGTGCCGATGCCCACCTTCAGCTGGGAGGAGATTCAGAAGCATAACCTGCGCACCGACAGGTGGCTGGTCATTGACCGCAAGGTTTACAACATCACCAAATGGTCCACCCAGCACCCGGGGGGCCAACGGGTCATCGGGCACTACGCTGGAGAAGATGCAACGGTAAGGGTCTGGGGGCGCCCCAGCCACCCTTCTCTGCTGCAGGCGGAGTCAGGAGCCCTGGCTCCCCGGGCGCCAAACAGACCTCCGGCGCTGAATGCAGCTTGGGACGTCCTGTAGGGAAGGAAAGTGCATCTATCGCACTCGTACCCCGGCCCCAATCCTCCTCCTCCTCTGGGCCGACTGGGGTGGAGACCGGATCTGGGACCCCGGGAGGCGGCGCTGCGGTGAAAGTCCCAGCGGTGGAGAACAGGGCAGCATCTCCCGCGCGCGCCGGGACCCACGCGTTCTCCCCTTCAGTGGGGTTTGCCCGGAGGCAGGGACTCTCCAAGTGGGGCGCTCGGGCCCGACGGCTCTGGCGCCCCCAGCGTGGAAGATGGCCGCCCCTGTGCGCCGCTGAAAGGAGCGGGAGCGCAGGCAGCCAGGTGTGGGACTCTGCGCTTGTCCAGCACTCTCCATCCAGACTAGGTGGCAAGAAGGAAAGCTCGTCCCCGGCCGGGGATCGCTCCTGCTGGGACTCTTGTCTAAGAAGGCCCTCAGTGGCCGCCTGGGAAAAACCGCCCAATAGCTCGGGTTCCCACGTTCTAGGGATTATCTAGACTCACCCCAAGCTCGAGTCGACCTTCTTGGGGACCGGCGTCGGGGATTGGTGGAAGGAGAACGGGCTGGGGTTTGCCCAGGTCGAGTGAGGCCTTGAGCCGGTGGATTTAGCAGCGCTAGACTGGCTTGGCAACAGGTCCATCTGCACTCGAGGTTACTCTCGGGCGTTCAATTCAATGGCTCTCTGTTTTTAAATCCTGCCAAGAACGCCCTTTCCTCATCTTACACTCCTAAAGGTAGTGGGCCTCTCTGGAGCAGGGCTGCCCAACTTACCCGCACCAAATGCATGGCTCAGTGATTACCCTGCACCAGCTATCCGCACCGGGGACCCCAGTCTGAAATCCTGGCATTTATTAAAGGTGCAGCTGGTATCCCATGGGTTCGAATGGGCTAGAGGGAAAAGAGCAGAGGCAAGGAGAGAAGAAAGGGCGGCTCTTGGTGGTAGTGAATAGGCTGCAGAGAAAAAAGGTCTGATGGGATAGAGAAATTGGGGAAGGTGTATAGGAGAGAGGCAGAAAGGAGGGATGAACTTGAAGTAGATCATTCCACCTGGAGGTCTAGGATGCGGAACTGTTTGTGGGCTTTTGCTCTCTAAGCTGCGTAGCCCCAACCCTTACCTTCCCCACCTCTTGCATCTCCAGGGGAAGGCCAGACCAGGCCACCATAATCCAAACTGGACAGTGGACAGGTGGTGTGGGTCAGCCGGGCCAGGGCTTATCTAAGATTGGGAAGGTCAGCGATATTGAAATTCCCTACAGCTTCTAGCCCCATCCTGTTTTACTTGCTTATGGACATTGCTTAAGCCCAGGGGGTTTGTGATGCTATTTAGAACTTAGGTGAGTATGTTTCACATACCTTCAGCGCTATCTCACCTGCACCTTTCCACAACCCAGTGAGGAGGTTGGGTAAAGGTAATTCCTAAGTAAAGGACCTTCTGGATCCTGGCTGGGATCTTTCCACTCTATGTTGCTGGACTTGGGCTGGTCTGTTTCTAATTGCATAGGTAGATTGTAGAAGGTTCCTGCCCTGTCCAGGCCCTCACCAAAAGCTTTCCAGAAGGAAAAGTCAAATACAATGGATTTGGCCTGATTATTCCGTATTGTTAAACATATTTTCTTATGTGAATGCTCAGTCTGGCAATTGCCTTGACCTTTCTGGTTTAATTACCATATCACATCGATTTATTTCATCCTTGTTCTGGATGTTCTCAGTGCTTACCTGACCTTAACACTGAGTTCCCTCCAAAAATCAGTGCTTACATCTCTCCTAGCAGAGGACTAGGATGCCCTACCCTTCCCTGACCTTTTCTCTGTCTCATAAAAATGTAATAGTCTCTTCATTTCTGGTCCTGCTCCAGCGCTTTCTGTATAACTTTCATGGACTATAAACCTGGCATCTTGGATGTTAGTTGCTTTGTTACTCTCATAAGCTAAGGTGAGAGCCAACCTGGGCTGCAAGCAGATCTAGAATTGAAGAAAGATGCCATTACTGGGCTCATTCACTGAGTGTTGTCACTTGACTGAGCCACCTCTCCTCATCTATAAGGTACACCTGTACCTGTTTCAACGAATCTGATTTGTGGCAAAGCACCCCAGCAACTATAACCACCAGATGAATGCAATGGGGTGTTTTCAGGCAAACGAGAATAAGAACAAGGATTATGAAACAGCTAGAATGGAAAGTATGCAAAGAGGAATTTGGAAGAAAAAATTTAAATCTATGCTAGCTTTATTTGGTGTAGCAACACGTAAAAACAATCCCTGTCCCCAGAGCTGCCTGTCTTCTAAAATAAGACTTTTGGGGCATGAAATACACAAACTGGGGATACAGAATTGAATGATGGTGATGGTGGAGTGAGCAGCTGGGTTCTCTTTGTTTTGTTTTGTTTTGTTTAAACTGTCCAGGACCAGGTTGGAAAAAGGCCTTGAGCAGCATAGGGTGGGTGGGGCATGTGGAAAGAGGACCTAAAGAGAGAGGCAGAAACAGGCTACTGAAATCCAGAGATACCTTGTCTAGGCTGTTGAGCAAGTGACTTTACCCCTTTGGGTGATGGTTTGTTCCCCAGAGCAAGCGGAGTGACAGTTTATGGACCAGGCACAGTCTGGGGAGAGACTGATCAGAAGACAGTTTGGATTCCCTGGAACATTCCCAGGCAATGTTCTGAGCCCATCACAGTGCAGTCATTCCTAACACCAGCCTGGAAACAGGTCGGAAGTCAAGAAAGTCATTCTCGGGACAGTCTCGGAAGATCAGGGGGACAATCCGGGGCCTCAATAGGGCATTTTCTTTTTTCTGAAGAGGAAAATATCCAGGTAGTCAGGATCCATCTCCCTAGAAGGATGGGGCAACTGTTACGTGGTCCTTCCACAGAAGTTAAACCCTGGCCTTGCCTATAATAATACAAGTTGCTTGATTTTTGCAGCTTACAAAGCACATTCATATGTTTCACCTCATTTCATTCTCAGATCAGCCCCGTAGGCACCTCTCATTGCTCTGAGGTATCAAACCTGGCTCAAGTGGCCGTGCTCAGACTTCAAATCAGGATCTGACCTCAAGTCTTCCCAGCTCACCTTCCTTCTCTTCCTGTTTCTACCTCTGATCTCTTCCCTTTGTTGCTGCGGTGCTTCTCTTGTCTTTTCCTTGCTGTGGGCAAAAGGAACCCTCACCCACGCCCTAAGAGTGTGTCTGCTCTTTTCACAGCAGTCCCACCACTGCAGAACTGTTCATCTTCAGCAACAATTCATCAAACATTAATTGAGTGTCTCCATAGCTCTGAGCTGGGCCCAGACACAAAGATGAATTATCCACAGACAGAGACCTGAAGCTGCGGGATGTGCTCCCCTTGCTCTCTGTCAAGCTGGGGCTTGGATCTGGACCCTCTGCCTCCAGACATCAGCCCCCTATCCCTAACCCTTGTTTCAGCAGCTGCTCCTGCCTGGTCTGCACTGGTGACCTCTTAGAATCAAGGGAAGGTGAGAAGAGACCAGAGGTTTGTTCCACCTTTCAACCTGCTCTTATGTTGTTCTTGTGAAAAGGCAACAGATCTAAAGTGGAACTCTGGCCTCCTTTGGACAAGGCAGGAGGGTTGTAGTATTTAGAGGCAGGGGACCTGGGTTCCAGTCCCAGCTTTATGAATTCCCGGGCCTGGAGGGCAGCTCCATCTCCGCAGCTGAGATCTGGGTGGGAGCCATCCAGTTCCTGTGGTTGCAGCCTCAATATCCCCAGGAAGCAGTTCTGAGATGGAAGTGGTGAATGGCACCAATTTCTTCATGTCCAGGTTGCCTTTGCAGGGGCCTATCTCCTATGTAGCCCTGCCTTTCTGCCCTCAGGGTAGTGCATGGACCCTGTGTTATGGGGGAGGCTCTCACTGCAGGGCTCTTTGGCCACAGAGCACGGCCCTACCAGCCTCTTCTTTCTTTGGAGGGGACATGGCATAGGGGCTTCGTGCCCTGCCTGCATCTCTCTGCTGCAGAAAGGAAGTCAACGTCCCTGTCTTGCTCTTCAGTTCCACTGGAGAATGCAAGGGTCCCTCCTGTGCATCTCCACACTCTTAGATCACTTGTTCCGTAAAGTTCTGGTCTGCAGGGCTGCCACCTACTGCACTGTATGCCCTGAGCTTGCCCGTCCTGCACTTTCCAAGTCCTGGGCCAAGTGCCCAGTTGTGCAGCATTCGATCAGAGATTAGCCTTGCTCAGCAGAGGACATGGGCACAGCCATAAACAAATCCTGGCACCAGGTGCTCAGTGGATGGCGAGCAACTGTGAGTTGTACCCAGAGTTGGGCAGGGGCAGGGAAAATATCCCTGTGGAGAAGTTGACTGGCATCAGAGCTGGGTGACGGCAGAAGCAGGAACTGGCAAAGAGCGAAGTGTGACATGCACTTCGGAATCTGGGTGTTCTGACTTCCCCACCTCACACACCTGCCCTGCCGGGTGTGTGCAGCTCTGCTTTCTTCACTTGTTTGCCAATCCTTTCTCTTCCCCATGTTCCAGGTCCTCTTTCTGGAAAGTCTCTGGCTTCTCTCCTGTTACACAAGGATAGAGCGCGGTTCCAATTCTTGGTCCAAAGACAATGTTTGGGTTGGCCCTCCCTTGCCTTGAATCCTGGTCTGCCTTATACCTGCCAGACATTCCTGTAACCCAGCAGGTGCTGGGAACCTTCTGCCAGCGTGTGAGACACATTTATGCAATGGGAAGTGAGAGACAAAAAATAATCGACTCTCAGGGAGCAGGATGCTCATGTCGAAGGAAGCCTTTGTCTGAACAGCAGATAACACTCAAGGTAGCCACATGTGACTCAAACTCTGCTCAGCTCATCCCCGAGTGTGATAGTGGGCAGGTGGCTCTGCTGACCTACGCCTCATTTTTTATCTCTAAAAAAGGACCTGCCTCACGAAGTTTGGTAAAGATTCGTGGCTGATGTATGCAAGCCACTCCCGGGGCTCCGTGTCTCGCCTGCGTCACCTCAGCAGGTGGCAGCTGTAGCAACCACCAGCGTGGGGATGCCGGAGAAGGCTTTTGGTGTTCCAGAGGCAGAAGCCAAGTTGTGTGAAACGCGGAAGAGGACAAGTGTCTGATCATGACTGCACAGTGGAAAAGTATGATATCAGAGTGTGTTCAGCTGTGGGGTCCTGGGTCCATTCATTCCCTCGTGAGCCATCTTATGAGGCCCCGTTCCAGGCAATGGGATTATTGCAGCAAACAAGACAGGTGCAGGCCTTCCCAACTGGGGCTTATGCTCCAGTGGGGGACACAGGCCATAAACAAGTGAGCACGTCACACGGTCTGATGATGACCCTTGATGACTGCTATGAAGATCTAATAGGACATTGACCCAGGGAAGGCCCAGGGCTGGGAGAGCTCTTTTGGATGTGATGTTGGGAAAAGCCTCTTGGAGGTGATATTGAGGCTGAGTCCCGAGTGGAGGTGGCCCTGGTGTGGAAAGGAGCGTGGTATGTTCAAGGGTGGTCCACACCAGGCCTGCTCGAAAAGCTGCCACACTGACCATGGGCAAGGAGCTGATCCAACAGACTGCTCGATTTTCTGAAATGGCAGGAAGCGTGTGGCACGTGAGAAAGGAGTCCTTAAAGGCAGCTGGACCTGGATTTGATCCTGGCTCTGCCACTTGGAGCCCAGGACTTTTCTTCCTGCATCTTCATCTCAAAAGTTGGGGCTTGAGGCCTAAGGGAGTAACATGAACAACACTCCTGGCTCCCTGCCTGGCACACGCCTATTACCCCTGGGCTCAGGGAGGTGAGGCTGCCCGTGAGCCTTCTGGAAATGCCTGAGGAGCAACCCAGGTCAAGGCAGGGCTCTGTCATCTGTCTGCTCCCTTGGAGCTGGAACCTGGACTGCAGGTCTCGGGTGTTGGGGAGGCAGCAGGAGCAGAGATGAGTCCATTTGTAAGCCACTGAATCTTGCCTTTCAATGAAACAAGAGGAATCCATTAGTTATCAGCCGCTGCAGCTGCTTCTTAGGAAACTGCCTTACCAGGGACTTCCTGTTCATTTCTCAAAGGCTGTGGTGTGATGTGAGGAGGACCAATGAAGGGGCTTTTTCAGGCCCAGCCCTGGGCCCTGACTTTGGCAGCTCCTCCAGGCCTCTCCCAGGGCCTTTCTTATTTTGCAGAGGTGGCTGAGGCTGTGGTGGGGACTGCTCACCCCACCCAGAGCCGGCAAAACTGGTCACCACTGCAACCCCGGGCTCCTCCCTCCTCGCCACCCAGGGCCTCCTCCCTCCTCGCCCCCCAGGGCCTCCTCCCTGCCTGTCCCCCTGGGCCTCTTCCCTGCATCCCCAGGGCCCTGGAACAGCACATCTCTTTTCCGTGAAAATACACTTGACCTGATCCCCTGCTACTATCCCTTGTCTGCTTGGCTAGTGGGTCGTAGGCATTTTTTTAAAAACCATGGGCCCAGTTTTCTCCTGCACGAAGTGTTGCTTTGTCAGTCTGTTCTAGACACAAATAGAACAAAGACCAAGCAAAGGACTTGATGCCAGGAATGTAGTAAGGAGATGATGGGAGACTGGCAGTTACCCTTAGGAGATCCTTACATGTGGGGGTGAAAAGATTTCCAGGAGTGGTTAGCACTTTCTCCACCTCCCCACGACGCTCTTTTTTTTTTTTTGAGATGGAGTCTCTCTCTGTCGGCAGGCTGGAGTGCAATGGCATGTTCTTGGCTCACTGCAACCTGCCACCTCCCTGGTTAAAGCGATTCCCCTGCCTCAACCTCCCTAGTAGCTGGGATTACAGGCGTGTGCTACCATGCCCAGCGAATTTTTTTTTTTTTTGGTATTTTTAGTAGAGACGGGGTTTCACCATGTTGGCCAGGCTGGTCTCAAACTCCTGGCCTCAGGCAATCTGCCGCCTTGGACTCCCAAAGTGCTAAGATTACCGCACCCAGCCCCCTCTTCTTTTTAATTTTGAAAATTTCCCAACATTCAGAAATGTCGAAAGAGCAAGCAAACACCTGTGTGTCCTCAACCAAGATTCACTAGTCTTAACATTTTGCCACCTTCGCGTTTTTCCTCTTTACACACGTGCAGTTTCCTTTTGAAAATAAGCTGTGTCATTAAGTGATCATATCCGTAAGGTCTTCATCATTTCCTAAGAAAAAAGAAGAGATGCTCTAACATAATCAGGGTGCCTTTGTCACGTTTAAGAAAATTAATAGTAATTCCTTGATATGATCGAATATCTGGTCCATATTCATTTTTTCTCATTCAACCCCCGAAAACCCTTGTATAACTTATTTTTTCCTTCAAGTGAGAGCCTTTCACATTAAAGAATTGCAGGATGTTGTTTGTTTGTTTTTTGAGACAGAATCTCACTCTGTTGCCCAGGCTGGAGTGCAGTGGTGCAATCTTGGCTCACTGCAACCTCTGCCTCCTGGTTTTAAGGGATTCTCGTGCCTCAGCCTCCTGAGTAGCTGGGATTACATGCGTGCGCCACCACGCCTGACTAATTTTTGTATTTTTAGTAGAGACGGTATATCACCATTTTGCCCAGGCTGATCTCAAACTCCTAACCTCAGGTGATCCCTGTCTCGGCCTCCCAAAGTGCTGGGATTACAGGCATGAACCACTGTGCCTGGCCTGTTTGTTTTTTGAGGCAGGGTCTCACTCTCTTGCCCAGACTGGAGTGCAGTGGCACCATCATTACTTATTGTATCTTCCTGCCTCAGCCTCCTGAGTAGCTGGGGTTATTGGTGCAGGTCACCACACCCGGCTAATTTTGTTTATTTTTAGTAGAGACGGGTCTTGCTATGTTACTCAGGCTGGTCTTGAACTCCTGGCCTCAAGTGATCCCCCTGCCTCTGCCTCCCAAAGTGCTGGGATTACAGGTGTGAGCCCCTGCGACTGAACAAAAGTTGCAGTTTTTATATCATTTTAGTCTCTTTAATCTAGACCATGCTTCCATACTTTTTTTTTTTTTCCCCCACAAACCTGTATTTTTTTTCCCAGCTATATTGATTTTTCTGATTGTTTCTCATGGTGGAGCTTGACTGGTTTGCCAATCCTACCAATATCTGGAAGCTTAACTTGATGCAGATTAAACAGTGTTCACCACCGGGACATTCTATTGCATCCCCCCAGGGGCGCCTGGTGCCAGCTCATCTCTAATAGAAATGCTCGATTTTTTATGAGATAATTAATGTAATATGCATAATGTGTATAGAAAAAAGCTGGAAGGAAAAATGCTAACATATTAGCAATAATGATCACTTTCTGGGTGATATTTATTTTCCTCTTTATTCTGCTGTGCCTTTTCTAACTTGACCAAAACTCAGCACATTTTTACATTATAATTGGGGAAAAAAAGATGAAAACGTTTATCATTATAGCAGTGTTAGAGTTCGGAAAGTAATGAAAATAAAGCAAGGCATAATCCAACTATCTTAACATGTATAATAATAGCCTAGATCATCCCAGGCTTTTTTTCAGGAATGCTTTTTACATAACTCTGTGTTTATTTTTTGTTTATCTGAGCACATTTCCAATGCCATGGTAGTATTCGGTCTTGTTCTTTTCATCGATAACCCTGGATATGAAGGTGAGGAACTTACAAGAGGTGGTGGGTGGTGCAGTTTGTGCACCATGCAAGGCACTCATCTCACGCAGTTGAGGCTCAAGTCCTCCTTGAGCCCCATGTCTTCCTGGTGCGCCTTCCTGGAGGGTCACCATTTCCTGACTTGCCCAAAGGCAGCCTGTGCATCTCTCCACAAACCCCTGGGGAGTTTAGCATGCCTGTGCCGGCACAGAAGTCCAGGTGGCTATTGCTGTTGGCGTTGGGCACTAAGGGCTCTGTCCTGGAAAACTGCTGGAGACAGCATTTGGGGCCAGATCACAGGAGACCCTGTTTGGTGTCTGGGTGCACACATGGAGCTGCTGCTGGTTGAGCACTGTCCTCCTTGGGGCCCGAGAGCAGACAGAGGTCGGGTCTCAGCCTCACCACTGCCCTCTGCTCTCCAGGATGCCTTCCGCGCCTTCCACCCTGACCTGAAATTCGTGGGCAAGTTCTTGAAACCTCTGCTGATTGGTGAGCTGGCCCCAGAAGAGCCCAGCCAGGACCACGGCAAGAACGTGAGTCGGGCTTGCAACCTGGGTGGGGGTGGAGAAGAGGCTGGGGGTGGCTGGGAGTCTGAGAGAGGGTCCCCTCACCCCAGGACCGGTAACTGGGGCTGGGGCAGGCAGGGGTGCTTTTGTCCTGGAGGAGCCACTGTGGATCACCTGTGGTCAGGGAGGGCCTCAGAGCCTCCCTGGGAGCTGGGATTTGACAACAGCTAGTGGCGTCTCCTCTCTTCTAGCCAGTTTCACTTTCATTCTCCTCCATCCCTTTCCAGAAAGGTGCCAGATGACAATCTAGGGGAAAGACAGGACAGAAACACTGAAAAATGTCATTTAATGACAAGAGTGGCTTTGGGGTCTGGGAGCACCTCTTTGAGAAAGAATGGCCATTTCCTGGTCATTTCTTCATCGTCTGCAGGTCAGACACTCTCCTGGGTGCTGGGTTTCCAGGACAGTGACGTGTGAAAATAGCAACCCCTGAGGTTTCACGGGCTGTTTTGTTCAACAATGAAGTCCCCATGTAAATGGTGGAGCAGTGTATAGAAGGAACTTGGGACAGGAGGCAGGGGCAGGGCAGGATGGGGAGGAGAGAGTGGTTACAAGGAGAGGAGTGGTACCCACAGGGCATGACCAGGGTGGTCATGGAGGTCCCACCCTGGCCTCAGCGAGCCCTTCCTCCTCTTGTTGCCAGCCTGGGCTGGACCCCTCTGCTCTCCTGGCCTGGACTCTTGGCCAGTCCCCCATTGCCCCCACTGCCTCTGGCTTTCCTGATGAGCTGCAGGCCACCCTGCGGGTCCTCCAGAGGCCAATGCCCCTACTCTCACATTTCCCTCCATGGTATATGAGATCACCTGCCCCGTACCCATGCCAACCCATGCTTGTCCCCTCCTGCCTCCTTCGCAAGTCCATCTCCCACTCTCACCCCCGGCACCTCCTGGCCTGCAGCTTATCCAGCTTTGCTTGTCCTGCCCTGTAGCTCCCTCCTCCATGGCCTTGCTCCTTGGCTCTGTCCATTGCTCTCCCTTTGTGCTGCAGATCCTGCACCACTTAGCACCCAGGCTCCCACCATGTGCCACCAGAACCACCTTTCATAGCACCCTGGTCATGCCCTGTGGGTACCACTCCTCTCCTAGTATCCACTCTCCTCCCTGTCCAGCCCTGCCCCTGTCTCTTGTCCCAAGTTCCTTCTTTCTCGCAATGCCATTGTGTTCCCAGGGCACTCCTTGATTCCACTTCGCCTCCCTGGCTCCATGTGCCCGGGGCTCACAGCCCCCTCCTTCTTGCCTCAGCTCGCCCTCCTTCCTACCTCAGCTCGCCCTCCTTCCTACCTCAGCTCGCCCTCCTTCCTGCCTCAGCTCGCCCTCCTTCCTGCCTCATCTCGCCCTCCTTCCTGCCTCAGCTCGCCCTCCTTCCTACCTCAGCTCGCCCTCCTTCCTACCTCAGCTCACCCTCCTGCCTGCCTCAGCTCACCCTCCTGCACTAGTTTGTGTTGCCCCAACTCAACCCCTCAAGACCCAACAGTGCACACAGAGCAAGTGGTGCTCTGTTGGGTGGTGAAAAATGCAAGTTTTCTTTTTCTTTTTCTTTTCTTTTCCTTTTTTTTTTTTTGAGACGGAATTTCACTCTTGTTACCCAGGCTGGAGTGCAATGACACAGTCTCAGCTCACCACAACCTCTGCCTCCGGATTTAAGCCATGCTCCTGCCTCAACCTCCCAAGTAGCTGGGGTTACAGGCGCCTATCACCATGCCTGGCTAATTTTTGTATTTTTAGTAGAGATGGGGTTTCACCGTGTTGACCAGGCTGGTCTCAAACTCCTGACCTCAGGTGATCTGCCCGCCTCGGCCACCCAAAGTGCTGGGATTAAACTTTTCTTTTTTAAAAAAGTGTGGTTAACCATTTTAGTCATTTGAAGCGCACAGTTCAGTGGCATTAAATAAGCACATTTACATTGTTAGGTAACCATCACCGCCATCAGTTCTCATCTTCTCTAAATTGAAATTCCACATCCATTAAACACTCACTCCTCATTCTCCCACCCCTCAGCCCCTGGCAGGCACCATTCTACTTTCTGTCTCTGAATTTGACCTCTCCAAGGACCTCCTGTATATGGAATCATACAATATTTGTCCTTTGGTGACTGGCCTGTTTCCCTTAGCATGATGTCTTCAAAGTTCACCCACATTGTAGCATATGTCAGAATTTCCTCCCTTTTCAAGGCTGAGTAATATTCCATTGCATGGATAGACCAGGTGTTGTTGATCCATTCATTCGTCATGAGATCTTTGGGTTGTTTCTACCTTTTTTCCCATGTGAATAGAGCTGCTATTAACACAGGGTGTACAAAATGCAAGCTTTTGAGTCAAAGCCTTTTTCTGTCACTCTTACCTAGCTGTGACAAATATACAGGGCCCAGGGCTGTGTGGGCCATGTGGCAACAGCACCTATTGTAGGGACTCCTGCAGGGTGGAGGCTTGTGGCTTGGCCCCTCTTGCCACAGCTTCTCTGGGTTGTCCATTGGCTGTTGAAATGGCAGCCCGAGACATACGTTCCCTCCAGAGTGGCTGCTGGCTGAATCCTTTCCCTGTGCTCTTGGTCAACAGTCGAAGATCATTGAGGACTTCCGGGCCCTGAAGAAGACGGCTGAGGACATGAACCTGTTCAAGACCAACCACGTGTTCTTCCTCCTCCTCCTGGCCCACATCATTGCCTTGGAGAGCATCGCGTGGTTCACCGTCTTTTACTTTGGCAATGGCTGGATTCCTACCCTCATCACGGCCTTTGTCCTTGCTACCTCTCAGGTGAGGCGTGACACCCTCACCTCTCCCAGCTGACAGAGGCCTGGTGCCTGTTTGCTGAGGCTGTGACAGCTTGTGTGACCCTGTCTCCCCAGGCCCAAGCTGGATGGCTGCAACACGACTATGGCCACCTGTCTGTCTACAGGAAACCCAAGTGGAACCACCTTGTCCACAAGTTCGTCATTGGCCACTTAAAGGTAAATGTCAGCAGCCCTGGGCATCTGTCCTGTTGGACAGCAGTTGAGACAGAGGGACCAGGATTCCTCTCTGCTCAGTGCTCTGAGGCTACAGGGTGACAAGGCAGGTGTGCCTATGCTGTGGGCCATGGTGACCCTCCATTCTGCTGGCTTCCTGAGCCCCGTCTCTGGATCAGTTCCGACCCATGAAGACACAGTGTACTGCTCACTGTGAAGAGAGGCACACCCTTTCTTGTCTGTTAGCTCAGCGGATTGTATTGTTTGATGTTCCTTAGCTAAGGACTCATCTAACAAATCTGTTTTCGTTTGGGGACAGTAAAGTTGCAGTTTTTGTTTTTTGTTTTTTTTTTTTTTTTGAGACAGAGTCCTGCTTTTGTCACCCAAGCTGGAGTGCGATGGTGTGATCTTGGCTTACTGCAACCTCCACTGCCAGGTTCAAGCAATTCTCCTGCCTCAGCCTCCCGAGTAGCTGGGATTACAGGCACCTGCCACCATATACAGCTAATTTTTGTATTTTTAGTAGAGATGGAGTTTTGCCATGTTGGCCAGGCTGGTCTCAAACTCCTGACCTTGTGATCCACCTGCCTTGGCCTCCCAAAGTGCTGGGATCACAGGCGTGAGCCACCGTGCCCAGCCAGTTGCAGTCTCTTTTGATGAGTTGGTATGCTTCCTTTCACTGGGGATATGAGCTCTTTAATACATTGTGCTGGGTCTGGTGGCACACACCTGTAATCCTAGCCACCCGGGAGGCTGAAGCAGAAGAATTGCCTGAGCCCAGGAGTTTGAGACCAGCCTGGGCAACATAGTGAGACCCCCATATCTTAAAAAAAAAAAAAAAAAAAAGAAACACATTATGTTCCTCTCTTCCCCTCAGAAGCCAAGAGGTACAAAGCAGCATTTGAAACAGCAACTATCTTTAGTCTGTGTTTTTGGTGCACCCATTCTTTCCTTCCTCATCTGGCATTTAGGCTTTTATCTTTATTTTAGCCTTCTGTTATATATGAGTCCTTTATGTTAAGCCACTTCAAATACTCTTTGGAAATAAGCGTGGTACAAAAAGTAAATGTCATCCTATAAGGCCTCAGATAGGGGACACCAAACTATGGAATGATCGACTGGCCCAAAGGACAAAAGCCGTTAGAAGCGCAGGAGTTAAGGAGGAAGTTCCACTCTCACCTCCCCCTACATGAGGAAGCAGACCACAGAGGCTCAGCACGTTTGTAGAAAGACGAGCTGGAATTGCCAATGGCCTTGTTCTGATCTGATAGGCATTATCTCCTCAGTTTTGAAAATGAATCTGCCGACTTGCTCTCTGAAATAGACCATCCCCATCCCAACCCAACCCAACAGTACCTGCTTCCTGAGAAAAGCGGGGTCCTAAAGACTCCATCCCTCCACACCCTGGCAAGGGAACAGCTATATGTCGAGTGTAGCTTATCCCCTCTTCCACCCAGACCACAATGGGGCCCTTGGCTTGCCAGCTGCAGATCCCACTGGCGGCCAGCCACCCCTGAGCTGGTCACCAGTTTCGCAGCGAGCAGCTTGCCTGGCCCTGAGCCTGAAGTGGCCTGAGAACCTGGTCTTTGTCCAGAATCTCAGGGGCAAAGGGAGAGGGTGCACATAGTGCAGTGCTTTGTTTCATTTTATACTCTTCTCTGTTGGATCAAACCCTCCTCAGTACGGCAAAGTAACATTTAACTCCTGACCCACGTTAGCCCTCACACACTTAACAAAGATGGGCTGTGTCCTGTTTCCAGATTCTGGGCAGGGGCCAGGCAGGGGGGACCGTTCCTGTCCAATGGCCCTCGGTCCTTGAGGGGCCCCAGAGCACAGCTCTTGCGTCAGGCGGGAGATGGGGCCAGGAGAGAGGACTGGTCTCTATGTAGAATGTGGATGACAGCAAATAGGGTCCTTGGGTTTGGGGATGTGGGCTCCACTCATGGCCCGCAGCCCCCACTGGCTATGTCCTTGGTGCTGTGTCACAGAGCCAGGCCAAGGACATGGACATGCGGCTCACTCGGGGTGCCCCAGAGTAGGGAGGTCAAGCTTGCTCAAAATTGGCTCCAACACTCAGCAGGTGCACAACCATGGAGAAAAATCTTGTAGTCTGTGTCTCTTCCCATCACTGGGAAAAAGGGAACTGGCTGCAGGGAGGTCCTCCAGGGCCTTGTCAACTCAGATGTCTTATCACAAGCTGGAGAGACCTGTAAGTAGGTTACCAGGGGCTGTGAGAGGCTGGGACCCCCTTCTTCCTGTTAGCTGCACTGCTAATGGGATTTCATGGGAGTTCTCCACATCCTGACCTTCTGTTTGCCTTCAGCCCGTGTCACGCCCAGCAGACATTTCTTCCAGAGCGTGATCTTTTACAAAGATTATTTTGAGGTTAAAACTCTTTCATAGTTCAGCACTGTACTTAGGATAAAATGCAAACTTCGACCAGGCACAGTGGCTCACGCCTATAACCTCAGCGCTTTGGGAGATCAAGGCAGGAGGATCGCTTGAAGCCAGGAGTTTGTGACCAGCCTGGGCCACATAGCAAGACCCTGTCTCTACTAAAAATAAAAAAATTAGCCAGGAGTGGTGGTGCATGCTTGTAGTCCCAGCTACTGGGGCAGCTGAGGTGGGAGGATGGCTTGAGCCTGGGATTTGAAGGCTGCAGTGAGCTGTGATGGTACCACTGCACTCCAGCGTGGATGACAGAGTGAGACGCTATCTCTAAATAAACAAATGCAAGCTGAAAGGCCCAGTGCCATCTGGGCGCTGCATCTGTAATGGACATCACCAGCCTTTCTGCAGCCTCATCTCAGGCCACCAGGGCCAGGATTAGAGTAAAGCAAGTAAGACATTCGCCTAGGGTATAAAATCTAACGGGACACCAGACAAATTCAGTTTGCAAGAAAAATGATGTTTTAATGCAACGTGGTTTGGTTTTATTTTTTGAGATGGAGTTTCACTCTTGTCACCCAGGCTGGAGTGCAATGGCGTGATCTCAGCTCACTGAATTTTTTTGTATATTCAGTAGAGACGGGGTTTCCCCATGTTGGCCAGACTGGTCTTGAACTCCTGACCTAAGGTGATCCACCTGCCTCAGCCTCCCAAAGTGCTGAGATTACAGGCATGAGCCACGGTGCCCGGCCTGCAATTTGTTTTTTTTTAAAAACAAAATTAATGCAAAAACAATTCACAATGAACAAAATATCAAAATTTTACATAAAGATCAAGATGAACTGAGGCAAATGGAAAAGCATGCACCCCTCTATACATGTTCGTATGTCAATTTTTAATGGATGGGTTTTTTTCCAGAGCATTAAAGTAGTTGAAAAAATATTTAACAATGAAGAAGTTGACGTATTAAAAGTCATAACATTCTAAGTGTAAATGCTTTATTTATACCAAAACAGAGTTTATTATACTTTTGCTTCATTTGAATGTAATCAAAAATCAGTTAAGGCTGGGCACGTTGGCTCGGCCGGGTGTGGTGGCTCAAGCCTGTAATCCCAGCACTTTGGGAGGCTGAGGCAGGTAGATCACTTAAGGTCAGGAGTTCGAGACCAGCCTGGCCAACATGGTGAAACCCTGTCTCTACTAAAAATGCAAAAATTAGCCAGGCAAGATGGCGCACCTGTAATCCCGGTGCTTGGGAGGCTGAGACAGGAGAATCACTTGAACCAGGGAGGTGGAGGTTGCAGTGAGCAGAGATTTTGCCACTGCGCTCCAGCCTGGGCAACAGAGTGAGGCTCTATCTCAAAAATTAAAAATAAAATTAAAAATTATTTAAGCTAATCACTTGGTTAACGGAAACCATCAAACTCAGCAATTCTTTCCATTGAAAATGAAATGAGGCCAGGCGCGGTGGCCTGTAGTCCCAGCACTTTGGGAGGTCGAGGCAGGCAGATCACAAGGTCAGAAGATCAAGACCATCCTGACTAACACGGTGAAACCCTGTCTCTACTAAAAATACAAAAAATTAGCTGGGCGTGGTGGTGGGCGCCTGTAGTCCCAGCTGCTCGGGAGGCTGAGGCAGGAGAATACTTGAACCCGGGAGGTAGAGGTTGCAGTGAGCTGAGACCACACCACTGCACTCTAGGCTGGGCGACAGAGCCAGACTCCATCTCAAAAAAAAAAAAGAAGAAAATGAAATGAGGCAAAAAGTAGACTTTGAAAATGTTATCGATGAATTTGCTTCCATTAAAGCCAGGAGTGCATTTTTTTTTTTTTTTTTTTTTTTTGCCTCAGGCTCTGATATGGCTCCGCCTAGCACTGCTGGTCACAGTTATACCAAGGAGCTTTCCTCTGGCTTCTGGAACATTCCACACTCCCCCTTCCCCTCCCAGGGCCTCCCCTAGGCTCTTCCCTCTGTCAGCAAAGCACCCCTCACTCTGCCTGGCCAACTTCTCCAGCTGCGTGGACACTTAGCTTTCCTGGCTCCAGCTCCATTTGGATTTGGTGTGATGACACCAGACCCTCCCTCGCAGCTCCCTGAGGACAAGAGCTTTGTCTCTTGGTTCACCTCCCAGGCAGAGCATGGCAGCTGGCTTAGGGTAGGCAATATCTGCACCACATTCTGGAAACTAGGAGCTGGCCATTGTTCCAGGACAAGGTGGGCTTCCCGGTGCTCGGAAGGAGGGGCTCTTGAAGAACAAGCAGGGCTTCACCTGGCAAAGAAGAATGGAAGAGATGCCGGGTGCGGTGGCTTATGCCTGTAATCCCAGCACTTTGGGAGGCCGAGGTGGGTGGATCACCTGGGTTCAGGAGTTCAAGACCAGCCTGGCCAACATGGTGAAACTCCATCTCTACTAAAAATACAAAAATTAGCCGGGCATGGTGGCGGGCGCCTGTAATCCCAGCTACTTGGAAGGCTGAGGCGGGAGAATCGCTTGAACCTGGGAGGCGGAGGTTGCAGTGAGGTGAGATCGTACGACTGCACTCCAGCCTGGGCGACAAGAGCGAAACTCCATCTCAAAAAAAAAAAAAAAAAAAAAGAATGGAAGAGAATCACAGCAGAGGAGTAGCATGAACAAAAAATGCTTTCATTACATCTCATCCCGAGTCCAGGGAGAGCCGGGACTGCCCCACCTCACTGGCTCCTTGTTGTCGGCCCATCTTGCTTTCCTGCATCTATTTGCTCAATAAACATCTCTGGGTTGGTATCCTCCAAACATCAAGCTTGCTTGTTTCGTGCCTTGCTCTTTGGTTTCTTTATGCCAGAGATTTTTCCATTTGATTCTTCCCAGGAATTTTGTTCCTTTTGACAACAAACACAAATGCGTCATTTGATTCCTCAAGCCTCTAAGCTTTCTTTTTCTTTCTTTCTTTCTTCTTTTTTTTTTTTTTTTGAGACGGACTCTTGCTCTGTTGCCCAGGCTAAAGTGCCGTTGGTGTGATCTTGGCTCACTGCAGCCTCCGCCTCCTGGGTTCACAGGATTCTCCTGCCTCAGACTCCTGAGTAGTTGGGATTACAGGTGCCCGCCACCACACCCAGATAATTTTTGTAGTTTTAGTAGAGATGGTTTCTCCATGTTGGCCAGGCTGGTCTGGAACTCCTGACCTCAAGTGATCCACCCACCTCGGCCTCCCAAAGTGAAGACTCTAAGCTTTCACTCTGACTTTTTTTTTTTTTTTCCCTCTCTCTCTCCCTCCCATGGGTTTTGAGGCCTGCCTGTTTCCAGGGGCCTGAGGTCACTGCAAAGGTTGCAGCTGTCCATTGCTGTTCCCACCCATGGCTATTTGTCCATAGACCGTGTTTGTGCCAAAAGCATCTCCCAGTGAAATGTTTGTTTAGCAGACAGGCATTTTTTGCAGACCCTTAGGCAAAGCATTGATCTGGCAAGAGCTCACCAGAATAGTCGTGATGCTAAAGGGTCAGGAAAGTGTGTTTTCTTTCATCTGTCGCTGGGCAACTGCTGAGGGCCATGCCTCTGAGCTGAGGAGATGGAAATCTGCAGCCTCAAAAGAAATATCCATGTTATGCATCTTGTCTCATGGGATCCTATTTGAGTATTAGAAACAGGAAAGTTCTTTTTGTTCATGTTAGCAGTTTTTTGTTAAGCCCTCCCTCCAGCCTTCCTGGTGTGACGTGAATCTCAGGACCCACCCTCAGCATAGCAGCACAACTGCAATCTCCAAATGCTTTATTGAGATACAGTTATCCCGTTCCTCTGTCGCCCAGGCTGGAGTGCAGTGGTGTGATCTCTGCCTCCCTGGTTCAAGTGATTCTCCTGCCTCAGCCTGCCGAGTAGCTGGGATTACAGGCGCCTACAACCACACCCGGCTAATTTTTGTATTTTTAGTAGGGACGGGGTTTCGCCATGTTGCCCAGGCTGGTCTTTTTAACTCCTGACTTCAAGTGATCCACCCGCTTCTGCCTCCCAAAGTGCTGGGATTACAGGTGTGAGCCACTGCGCCCAGCCAGTTTTCCCATTTAAAGTAGACAAATCAATGACTTTTAGTATATTCACGGATTTATGCAACCATTGTCATAGTCAATTTTAGAGTGTCTTCACTATGCTCAAAAGAAATTCCAGGTTTCTTAGCCATCACATCCCAACCCCCTCACTCCCTCCCCTACCCCAATCCTAGCCCTACACAACTGCTCAACTTTCTGTCTCTATAGATTTGCCTATTCTGGACATTTCATGTGGGTGGAATCATGCGATATGTGGTCTTTTGTGGCTCCTTCCTTCCCTTAGCATGTTTTCCAGGGTCATCCGTGTTGTAGCAAGTGTCAGTGATTCGTTCTGTTTTATGGCACAGCCAGACAATATTCCATTGTGTGGCTAATCTGCACTTCATTCACCCACTCATCTATTGATGGACACTTGTGTTGTTTTTGCTCTTCTGGTTCTTTTGAAGAATGCTGCTCTGAACCTCCTCTATGAGTTTGTATGTGGACATGTTTTCATTTCTCTTGGATATACACTCAGGAGGGAGATTTCTGGGCCACACGGCAGGGACCACTTCTCTCTATCCCTGAAACCCCGGCTTTACCTCGCACAGCTCTGGCTCCACACCTGGTGGCGGAGAGGCAGAGACCAGCTCCCACACCTGCTGGAGCGCTCATCATGTGGTCCCACAGCAGCATGCCTCACCCGCCATCATTGTCTTATGATCGGGGAAACTGAAGCCTAGAGAGATAAAGTGACTTCACTCCATCTGGGGCTGGCCCATGCTCTGAGCTCAGGGCTGGATTCTGACCTTGTGGGGGCCTGAGGTGCTGTCCCTGAGGGTTGAAGGTGCTGGGAACTGCTCCTAAGCAGGGCCTGTCACAGGTGAGCTTGGTTCTCTGGTGGCCTGCATGGCTCATCCCAACCCCTCTCTCCCCACAGGGTGCCTCTGCCAACTGGTGGAATCATCGCCACTTCCAGCACCACGCCAAGCCTAACATCTTCCACAAGGATCCTGATGTGAACATGCTGCATGTGTTTGTCCTGGGCGAATGGCAGCCTATTGAGGTACAACTAAGGGGATGGTGTTGACATAGGAAGTGTTTGGCCTGGGTGAATGGCAGCCCACTGAGGTATGACTAAGGGGATGGTGTTGACCTAGGAAGTGTTTGGCCTGGGTGAATGGCAGCCCACTGGGGTATGACTAAGGGGATGGTGTTGACCTAGGAAGTGTTTGGCCTGAGCAGGGAGCCGGGAAGGAAGCCTAGAGGGCCAACGTTTAGCCAGCCAGGTCTGCATCTCCTGCTACACAGACACCTCTCCTAGGTACCCTGAATTGTTCCGGCTGGAATGTATGTGGAATGGCCTCACCTGTAAATATGGGACTCAGCTCCTCATTAGAATGGTAGATGCCTCCCGCCCGCCCTTAGGCCAGGAAGAGCATTTTCTGGCTTGTTTCTTCCCAGGGTAGAGGGAAATCTTGTTCCAGTTCAGCAGGAAGGCAGGATTTCAGGGGCTCAAACTTGGTTGCCAACCGACTAGCTCATGTTGAGAAAACCTTATTCAGAGAATCATCATCCCGTACACTGGGAGGAGCCTCAATATGCCTTGGTCCAATCTGCTTCACCAGTGGATGTGAAATTGAAGGTTGGCGAGAGGATGGAACACATTCACGGTCAAGTAATTTATTTGTTTTTTTCTGAGACGGAGTCTTGCTCTGTTGCCCAGAGCGGGAGTGCAATGGTGCAATCTTGGCTCACTGCAACCTCCACCTCCTGGGTTCAAGCAATTCTCCTACCTCAGCCTCCCAAGTAGCTGGGATTACAGACATGCACTACCATGCCGACTAATTTTTATATTTTTAGTAGAGATAGGGTTTCACCATGGCCAGGCTGGTTTCGAACTCCTGACCTCATGATCTGCCTGCCTCGGCTTCCCAAAGTGCTGGTATTACAGGCATGAGCCACCGCACCCAACCGAGAGAGTCATGTAATTTAGTGGCCAGTCTAGGATGAGGCCCCAGACCTTATGATTGCTAGGCCATTGCCTTCCATTTACTACACCATCTTATTTTCATATTAATTCATTGTATTACTACAAATATAGAACACACTTGGTATAGACTTTTAAGCAGTATAGAAATATCCAGAATTAAGACATGAGTCTCAGCCTGGGCAACACAGCAAGACCCCATCTCTAAAAAATCCAGGCATGGTAGCATGTGCCTAGTCTCAGTTATTGGGGAGGCTGAGGTGGGAGGATCCCTTGAGCTGAGCCCAGGAGGTTGAGGCTACAGTGAGCTATGATCACACCACTGCACTCCAGCCTGGGTAACAGAGCAAAGCCCTGTCTCAAAAAAAAAAAAAAAAAAAAAGTGAGTCTCTCAAACCTCCCCTTTGCCCCAAATTTTATGCCCTTGAGGGTAACCACTGTTAACAAGATGCTATATAGTCTTTTAGATATTTTTATGTATGTATAAACATGCATATATCTGTTTGTTTACAAACAAAAATTTTAGGCCAGCTGTAGTGGCTCACACCTGTAATCCCAGTGCTTTGGGAGGCTGAAGTGGGAGGATTGCTTGAGCCTAGGAGTTCAAGACCAGCCTGGGCCACAAAGTGAGACCCCATCTCTGCAAAAAATACAAAAGATTAGCCAGGTGTAGTGTTGTGCGTCTGTGGTCCCACGTGCAGGGGAGGCTGAGGTGGGGGAATCACTTGAGCCTGGGAGCTCACGGCTGCATTGAGCTATGATTGCACCACTGTACTCTCACAGGGACAGAAGAGCGAGATTCTGTCTCAAAAATAAGAAAAAAGAAAAAAATTCTACCTTGTATCCTGCAACTTGCCACCTCTGCGAATGTGGATGCCCTTCCCCACCAGTTCATGTAGCCAGGTCTCATCTCCCTCTAGCCATATAGTATTCTGTTGTATTTCTGAACCATAACAGGACCTACATTATTTTATAAGGCAGAAAAGTTGAGTGTTAGTCATTCATAATTTCTTTCTTTCTTTTTTTTTCTTTCTTTTTTTCTTTTATTTATTTATTTATTTATTTATTTATTTATTTATTTTGAGACAGAGTCTCACTCTCTTGCCCAGGCTGGAGTGCAGTGGCACGATCTTGGCTCACTGCAACCTCCGCCTCCCAGGTTCAAGTGATTCTCCTGCCTCAGCCTCCTGAGTAGCTGGGATTACAGGTGCACACCACCACGCCTGGCTAATTTTCTCATTTTTAGTAGAGACGGGGTTTCACCATGCTGGCCAGGCTGGTCTTGAACTCCTGATCTCGTGATCCACCTGCCTCGGACTCCCAAAGTGCTAGGATTACGGGTGTGAGCCACCGTGCTCAGCCCATAATTTCTTTTGAAGAAAAGCCCCAACAATGCATCCCACAAAAAATGTTCTTATTTAATACATTCTTTTTTTTTAATGTAGAGCCTCTATCTCAGGGACTAATTTATAAGAAAAAAAATAAATATATTCGCTGCTTTTTGGAAATACATTAATAATGAAAATGAAAGTTTAGAAGATCCTTGTGGCTTTTATGCAGATCTTAGGCGCCACAAAGCCATGCGTAGAGTAGGGTTCAATCAGCATTTGCCAAGCGAGGCCAATTTTCTCTCACTAAGGAGTGGCGCCCTGAGTGAAGGAGTATTCCCGACAGCGTTGGCGCCTAAGGCTTGGAACAAGGCGAAGAGACAGCCTGGTTCCCCAGTTCTGGTTTGTGTGCCCTCTTCTTATTTCATTTCCACCCGTGAGGCGATCTGAGCAGTAACATGGATTTTTCTGTAACATGGCCAATTCGCAGGAAATTAGCCACAGTTCTGTACTTTGGAAGCCTCTCTAAGCTGCCAGGGATTCTATTTTCTGCCAAAGTACAGGCTATTGTTATTCTTCTAGGAAACCGTTTGCCAGCTTTAATTAGAGGTGTCTAGATAACGGAACTGGTGAACTTGAGGTCTTCTGATAAGTGGGGACAAAGGCTTCGCTTTATGGGGGAGGCTTTGTGGTGTAGAGCTGTTGGCTGTCCTAACAGATGTTCTCTGTGTCTCTAACAAAGAAAGTCTAGTCCCACCAGCTGCACTGGCAAGAAGGCGTCTTTCTTGTGTGTGGTGGCCAGAGAAGCCTCTCCTCTCCCAACATCTTCTCACCCCTGACACTTCTGGAATGCTGGCTCTGGGGCAGGAGATGGGGGTGGGAGGCTGTGAGGATCTGGTTGGCCAGTTACCAGTGGCATTTGGAAGTCCCCAGCCAGTGCCGCAGTGTTCTGGAAATCCCCTCTCTCACTCATGGGGAAAGGACTGGTGCTTCCCGGGTTCCTGGTTTTTGGCCTGTGCTGGGTCTCATAGGACCCGGCTGCCCTGGAGGGAACTCTGGTCTCTTGACTGAAGTGACGGTGGGTCTGATGGGACTTGTCACATGCCAGTCCCACACACCACAGCAGGGCCAGGTGGGGCGGCCAGGCCTCAGGGTCTCAAGCCGCTATCCCAGTCTCCAGAGCAAGGACACCGGCCAGAGCTCCTGTCTCTGGGGACAGATGAGCAAAGCAGCCCAGCCAAGCAGCTCCAGCACATGGAACTGTGAATAGCATGTGCTCGGCAGTAGAGCCCTTTTCCTCGTTTTCTGCCTTTTGGTCTTATTGATGCTGTCCAGGAGGATTCTTTTTGTCATATGTAGCAAAGTATATTCACTTCCCCCAGAGATTCATTTCTTGTGTGCTTAGAAGGTTCTTCATACATATGATTTTCAGTTCTTTAAGGTTTCGTGTTTCGATCTTTAACTTCTGCCAAACGAGGTATGGGTAGGATGATGTTCGGCCTTCACTCTTCTCCAGAGTCGGCCAGTTTTCTCGGCACCCCCATGAGGTGGCATTGCTTCTCCATTTGAGGCAGTGAATGCTCCTGAGCCCGGGCTTGGCCTGGGCTGGGCTGTCTGTCCTCTCCCAGGCCACCGTCTGGATGACTTGGGAGCCACACTCACTCATTCATCCTTGGCACTTAACTCATTGGAAGTTCGTAGTGGGGTGCCTTTCCCCTTCTCTTTCTCTCTCTCTCTTTTCCTTTTCTTTTCTTTTCTTTTCTTTTTTTTTTTTTTTTTTTCTTTTTGAGACAAGGTCTTGCTCTGTCACCTCAGCTAGAGCGTAGTGGTGCAATCTTGGTTCACTGCAGCCTCAACCTCCTGGGCTCAAGCCATCCTTCCGCCTCAGCCTCCCGAGTAGCTGGGACTACAGGTGCATGCCACCATGCCTGGATAATTCTTGTATTTTTAGTGGAGATGGGGTTTCACTATGTTGGCCAGGCTGGTCTTGAACTCCTGACCTCCAGTGATCTGCCTGCCTCAGCCTCCCAAAGTGCTGGAATTACCAGCATGAGCCACTGTGCCTGGCCAAGGTCTATATTTCTTTATATGTCTCATGGATGTTTCTTTTAAAACACAATCCTTATCCGTTTTATATTTTGTCCTCATGATTGGGGGTTCTCTGGTACTCAGGAAAGCAGTGGATATTGCGGTAGTTATCTTCATTTTGGTTTTTTTTCTAAATTTTTGTTTGCATGGCCTTCCGATGAATGGGATAGTTATCTTTTGTCCCACCAGTGTCCACTTATGTCTCTTCATAATTCTAGTTATGTTTCAGTTGATTCTTTTGAGTTTCCTGGGTAGATGATCATATCCTAGAAAATAATGAAAATGTAGTCTCTTGGCCGGGCGCGGTGGCTCATGTCTGTAATCCCAGCACTTTGGGAGGCCGAGGCAGGCAGATCACGAGATCAGGAGATCAAGACCATCCTGGCTAACACGGTGAAACCCCATCTCTACTAAAAATACAAAAACTTAGCTGGGCGTGGTGGCACACACCTGTAGTCCCAGCTACTCTGGAGGCTGAGGCAAGAGAATCGCTTGAACCCGGGAGGCAGAGGTTGCAGTGAGCTGAGATCGCACCGCTGCACTCCAGCCTGGACGACAGAGCGAGACTGTGTCTCAAAACAACAATGACAACAACAACAACAAAAAAAAACCATAAAAACAAACCAAAAAAACACGTAGTCACGCTAGATTACCTGCCTGCTTGCCTGCCTGCCTCTTTCTTTCTTTCTCTTTGTTTCTTTCTTTCTTTCTCTCTCTCTTTCTTTCTTTCTTTTTTTCCTTCCTTCCTTCTCTTTCTTTCTTTTTTCTTTTTCTTTCTCCTTCCTTTCTCTTTCTTCTTTCTCCTTCCTTCCTTTCTCTTTCTTTTTCTTTTTCTTTCTCCTTCTTCCTTCCTTTCTTTCTCTTTCTCTTTTTCTTTCTCCTTCCTTCCTTTCTTTCTCTTTCTTTCTTTCTTTTTCTTTCTCCTTCCTTCCTTCCTTCCTTTCTCTTTCTTTTTCTTTTTCTTTCTCCTTCCTTCCTTCCTTTCTTTCTCTTTCTTTTTTTTCTTTTTCTTTCTCCTTCTTCCTTCCTTCCTTCCTTCCTTCCCTCCCTCCCTCCTTCCTTCCTTCTAATCTGGATGTTAGTGTAGTCTCTTTCTTTCTAATAGCTCCATTCTGTTGTCTGCTTTGGGTTTTATTGCATTGACGGGAAATTTCAGAGCTGAGTTTAATAGCGGTGATATCGGCAGCAGTCTTGTTTTGTTCTTCTTTTGCCATATCCTTGTTTTCTGAGGGGGCTGGTGAGGCCATTATCCCGGTAGCAGTGTAAATGTTCCTCAGAAGCCATGCCATGCCTGAGATCCTCCTCCTCCTCCTCCCATCTGGGAAACCACCTCTGCTGCCCTGCCTGTCTGAAGCTAACCTCCTGGGCTTCCTGCTTCAGGCAGACCTTCATGAACAGGCCTAAGCCACCCATCCCACCTTGGGAGACACAGGCCGCCCTCTCAGGGACCTTGGACTGGGACCTTGCCATTCTGCTCCTGCTGGGGAGGTCGTGCTGCCCGTTTCTCTCTGTGTGTGAGTTTGCAGGTTCCCAGAGTCAAGAGACTGGGCTTTGCGACAGCTCCCCTCCCCCAACCCTCCACGGACAAGGAGGGCCCTTGTCATTCCTCAGACATTTTGTTCCAAAGCTGAAAGGTCCTCTCCACATGGCCCGGCATCCTCCAGGCCCTCATCCAAGCCTGGCCTTGTGGTGCGCAGAGAGACCCAGGACAGGAGAGTCAGCCCCGCTGCCAGGGTTGGCTGCACTCCCTCCCTCACCCCTGGCCTGAGTCCCCGCCTATCAGCCGCAGCCTGGGAAGGCTCCGTCCCTGGTCAGGGGGAGGTCCATGTGTGCCACCCACACCCTTGGCCACAGCCCAGCCAAGTAAAAGTCGTGTGTCTTCCTTGCCTCTTGGGCTTTCTCTGTGTGTGTGACGGGGACTCCTCGGGAAGAGGAGATGTGTGGGGTACTCCACTCCCCACACGTGGGGCTCTGAGCCCCCAGTCGGGAAGAAGCCTGACTCTTGTTGAGTGAGTCTGTGGGCTGGACAGCGCGATGAGCAGTGTGCGTGCCCAACGTCACTTAGTCCTTGCTTAACCCGTGAGGCAGGAGCTGTCATCGACCCCTTTCATGGATGGAACAACTAAGGCCTAGAGACATGAAGTGACTTGTTCAAGGTAACAGCTAGGAAAAGGCAATATCACTGTCCAAACCCAAACCATCTGGCTGCAAACCACAGCTTCGGAGTCCCGGGGACCCTTGCGAAATATGTTTGTTGGGTAGCCCCAGCTTTCTGATCAATTAAACAGCCAGGCACTCACCCCGCTAGCTTGGTGCATTCTAAAATACCTCTCCCTCCTTTCCCTGCTCCCATGACTTAAATGGCAAAGCTCTGGCAAAGAACCGAGCGTGGGAAAGATGAGAGTAGAGAGTTAGCCACAGGGCAGGGCTTCGTATCCCAAGCCCACAGTTGTACTTTCTGGTTTGGGAGGGGAGTACTGGCCATCCCCCAGCAGACCCGCTGGAGCTGAGGCCATCGAGATGGGCACAGATGTGTAGTGGTATGTCACCATACACACGCACATACACACGCGTGACTATGATAAGCATTTCGCTCACCGTCCCACAGAGGCCCACTCTGAGGCCTGCTGCTGCCTGGCAAGCAGGGCCCCCTGACTCCCGAGGGTCATTCTGGGGCATTAAAGGGGCGCACACTAGAGCCAGCAGTGCTTACCAGCGGAGGCAGCCCCTGTAACCTCTGTTGTCCACCCAAAGGCCACCATCACCCATGAGAACAGGGTGCCTACTGTGCACATGCAGCTCCAAACAGACTCCCCAGGTGCCTCCCAGGCCCCCACAGCAGCGTGGCCAGCCATCAGTCCCTCCATAGGATGCCCTGGCCCCTGCTGACCTGCCTGGGTTGCCCTCTGTGCTCACTTCCGAGTACAGCCGGCCCAGCCCCAGAGGGACGGGACGCCGTGTGGGACAGAGATGCAGTGGGGAGGAGCTCTTGGCCAGAGCTGGAGACACTGCATGCTAAGGCTGGGGCTATGAGCCTGCTCCCTCTCCTCGGGGAGAAGCTTAGAGCAGGACCCAGAGGCCTGTTCTGTGAGCCACTGCAGGCCTCCGAGACTGGCCACCTCGAGGGCGTGGTCTGCAGTGCTGGCTTCTCCAGCGCCTCCATCGACCGGAGAATCATGAAAGGCTCCTGTGAGGCCTCCTGGCTCGGACCTCCCCATGGCCGGCCTCAGCCCTGGCCTTAATGATAGTCTTCCTACAAGTGGCCGTCCTTTCTGGGAATGGGTGAGATCCTTGCCAAGGCCCAGGAGGCCACACAGAACAAAGGGACTGTTTCTGGGGGTTCTTTGGCTGGGTGTGCTGTGACCACGGCCATTGGTGCCAAGATGCAAGTGTTGGGGACAGAGTGGACCTGGTTCCCACCCACAGCCTCTTCCCTTAGGAGTCCGTGCTCTCCCTGTGATTTGGACAATCACTTCCCTCTGTGTTCTCACCTGGAATGACAGGGGCAGTGGCCTAGGCGCCATCCAAGGTTCCTTCCCTCTGTAACTCACTTGGACCTCCTGACTGCAATAAGTAGGACTGGACACTGTTGGAGGAGGCAACTGTGGCCTTTGGATCCAGGCATATAGGGAGCACTTAGCACCTGTGCCCATGTTCTCATTGGCTCCTCTTACCAACCACTGATTCGAATGCCAGACAAGGCTCAGCAAGGCTAAGCGACTCACGCAGTCTCAGCACTGGTGAGAGGCAGAGTTGGCTCAAGCGCATCTTCTGGCTCCAAGCCCAGCCTCCCCATACTGCAAGCAAGAGGAGCCGGTGCCACTCAGTGAGCAATATCTTTTGATCTCAGTCCTGAAAGAGCAGGGTGGGCTGATCCCTAGGGGCTGGACCATGGAATTAAGGGCTCCAGGTCTCCTGGAGCCGTGGTTCCTATGCCTGGCTCACACTGAGTGGCCTGAGCAGCTTTGGACAGTGACGATACCCAGGACCCAGCCCAACCCTCCTCTATCAGAGCCTCTGGGCATCAGGCTGCCCAAGGTGCAGGCTATGATGGGGAAGAAACAGGTGCCTTCATGGGGACCTCAGGTAGCCAGATGTGGCCTAGGAGTCTGTGCCATGGCCTCCTCTGTTCTGTCCTCAAGGTTAGGCTCCAGCTGGGGAGGAGTGATTCACTCTTGTAAATTACAGGGAGGCTCCAGGGAGGAAGATGCTCCCAGTCTGATGACTGGCAGCAATTCTGGGGCCCTTACCTAGGTTCTCCCTGCCAGAGTGGGCTCCAGGAGCTCTCCATGGTGACCTAGGAGCTCCCCTGGGTGCTTAGGCCCCGCCGAGAGTTGCTCTGTTGCACATTCATTCAACAAACATGTATTTAGTGCCTGTCACATGGGCTCAGAGTCAGTTTTTTGGGTTCTGATCCCAGCCAGGGCCACTTCCCATGGCCTTGGGCCATGGCTTAATGCTGAGCCTCAGCCTCAGAAGTGCCGGCCTTGCGGAGGATTGATGCCATTGGGCCAGCACTCAGCTAGGGCTGAGGAAGCGTTGGTCACTGCTGGCTGCAGAATGGGGAGCCCAGAGGGCTGGAGGGGCCCCAGGCTTGGTGGGCCTAGGGTGCAGATTGACAGGAAAGGGACAGTGGTGTGCCCTGAGTAGAGAGAAGGGATGGTGGCTGCAGGGCGGGTCGAGGAGCATGGGAGGCTGGGAGCTGAGGCTGCTGGGCGCTCATGATCTCTCCTCTCTCCTCAGTACGGCAAGAAGAAGCTGAAATACCTACCCTACAATCACCAGCACGAATACTTCTTCCTGAGTGAGTGCTCAGCACCCTGAAACCACTCCTGGTCCCTCCCCTCCCCTCAGAGTGGCGTCTCTCTCCCTCCTACCTGACATCTTTTCCAGGTCCAGAAAGTGACACTAAACTTGTTAGAAGCAGGGGCCACAGCAGCCATCCCCTGCAGACCCCCTCAGCCCATGTTACAGGCCAGGTGGGGACACAGGCTCAGAGAGTCCCAGGGATGACGCACATCCTCGAGGGCTCCCAGCCTTCTCTGCAGGCCCCGGGGTCCCTGGCTGCTTCTGCTTACGTCTGCAGGGCTGGCCCCTGTGATCACTGCTGGGCCCGGGTCCCCCCGACCTTCCGGCACAGGCGGGGTAAATGGATGCCTCTAAGTGCCTGTCTCTCTCCTGCAGTTGGGCCGCCGCTGCTCATCCCCATGTATTTCCAGTACCAGATCATCATGACCATGATCGTGCACAAGAACTGGGTGGTGAGTCAGGGACACAGCTGGCTTGGCATGGGGAGGAGGGTGACTGGGACAGGTGGACCTGGGGACCCTACGCTGCCTCCTCGTGTGCCTCAGTGGAGCCTGCGGGGCCCTATGCATCTCCTCCCTGGGGTAGCTGCCTCTCAGGAAAGGACTCCCCCTGGGGCCACCAGGACCCAGTCCTAAAGATCTCTACTCTCCCTCAGACACAGGGAGTCCACTGGGGCAGCCCCTGCTTTTGTAGAGCCCCCCAGAAAGTTCTCAAAGGCAGCATGATGAGAGGCAAGTGTAGCCATCTTCCTTCCCCACTCCCTGCGGGCCCTGAGGCCCATGAACTGGGTCGCCCCACAGCCTGGTCGGAAATCGGAGCAGCTGGGCGTTGGCCGAGAGGACAGGTGTGTTCGTTTGCGGAGACCGTATGACAAAGCACCACGAACTGAGCGGCATAAGCAGCAGCGATGTGTTTTCTCCCAGTTCCAGAGACGGGAAGTCCAAAACCGAGGTGTTAGCAGGGTGGATTCCTTAGGGCTCTGGAAGGCTCTGTTCTGGGCCTCTCCTTGGCTGGTTGATGGCTTTCGCCCTCCCTCTTGGTACATCGTCTCTCTGCATATCTGTATCTGTATCTGTGTCCAAATTTCCCTCTTTAAAAAATTATTTTGTTTATTTATTTATTTATTTATTGAGACAGAGTCTCGCTGTGTCACACAGGCTGGAGTGCAGTGGCATGATCTTGGCTCACTGCAACCTCCACCTCCTGGGTTCAAGCGATTCTTGTGCCTCAGCCTCCCAAGTACCTGAGATTACAGGCACCGGCCACCATGCCCAGCTAATTTTTGTATCTTTAGTAGAGATGGGTTTTTTCCATGTTGGCCAGGCTGGTCTCGAACTCCTGGCCTCAAGTGATCTGCCCCCCTCAGCCTCACAAAGTGTTGGGATTACAGGCATGAGCCACCATGCCCGGCCTATTTTTTTATTTTCCTTTTTTCTTCACCAAAAATGGATACTTGAAAATTTTCCTTTTTTAAAATAGGGACGTGGCTCATATTGCTTTAGGGCCCATTGTAATTACGTCATCTTTTTCTTTTTTTTCTTCTTTTTTTTTTTTTTTTTTGAGACGGAGTTTCACTCTGTTGCCCAGGCTGGAGTGTAGTGGCACGATCTCGGCTCTCTGCAACCTCTGCCTCCTGGGTTCAAGCAATTCTCCTCCCTCAGCCTCCCGAGTAGCTGGGAATACAGGCGCCCGCAACCACGCCTGGCTAATTTTTGTATTTTTAGTAGAGATGGGGTTTTACCATGTTGGCCAGGCTGGTCTCAAACTCCTGATTCGTGATCCACCCACCTCAGCCTCCCAAAGTGCTGGGATTACAGGCGTGAGCCACTGCACCCAGCCAATAAGTTGTTTATTTGACAATTATCAAAGACTAAATTGTCACTTTCTGAAATGCTTGCCTGAAATCCAGTCTTTCTAAGCAGTCTATTTGCCCCTCATGCTCCAACCAATAGCCATGGGAAAGTTTTTCCTCTCTTAACCAAATGTGGGCTTGTTTGTTGATTACTGTTTTTTGTTTGTTTGGTTGGTTTTGAGATGGAGTTTTGCTCTTGTTGCCCAGGCTGGAGTACAATGGCGCAATCTCGGCTCACTGAAACCTCTGCCTTCCAGTTTCAAGCGATTCTCCTGCCTCAGCCTCCTGAGTAGCTGGGATTGCAGGCATGCGCCACCATGCCTGGCTAATTTTGTATTTTCGGTAGAGATAGGGTTTCACCATGTTGGTCAGGCTGGTCTCAAACTCCTGACCTGAGGTGATCCACCCACCTCAGCCTCCCAAAGTGCTGGGATTACAGGCGTGAGCCACTGTGCCCGGCCTATTGATTTCTGTTTTATCGCTTGCTAACTGAAGTTGTCCTTTTCACCTTGACTGTGAATTTAAGAGCAGCCAAGTCAAATTTTATCTCCAAGTCTTGGACCCATATATCCAATCTAACTCCATCCAGAGGTGTCCCAGCCGTTTCAAATCCAACATATTCAATATAAGTCCTCTCCTCTTCTCCCACAACCTAATCCTTTTCTGATGGTCTCCATGTTAATGAATGGCTCCATCATCCACCCAGTGGCTCAAGTTAGAGACTAGCATCATTATGTTTTTTCCCTCCTCATACATGTTACACCATCTCCTTGCCTCTAGCATCCGATCCTGTTCTAACTCATAAATGGCCTATTGCTGGGCACAGTCGCTCATGCCTGTAATCCCAGCACTTTCAGAGGCCGAGGCGTGCAGATCATGAGGTCAGGAGTTCGAGACCAGCCTGGCCAGCATGGTGAAACCCTGTCTCTACTAAAAATACAAAAAATTAGCTGGGCATGGTGGTGGCTGAGGCAGGAGAATTGCTTGAACCTGGCAGGCAGAGGTTGCAGTGAGCAACCCCTTTTTTTGTTTTTGACTGTGCTTGTTCCCTAAGGAACAAAGCATTAAACAGGAAAAGAAATCACCCTGTGTTCCTAAAAGGAGATGGCAGAGTGGGGACAATGTGATGAGCCGCGGGGCTTTCAGAGCCAGGAGCGCACCTATGACCTGAGGCACTGTTTCTCAGAGGAGCTGTTCTGCCCTTTGACAGTATCTGGAGACACTTCTGATTGTCACAACTTCAGGAGAGGAGGGTGCTACTGGCATCTGGTGGGCATCTAGCCAGGATGGTGCTAAGCACCCTGCCATGCCCTGGAGAACTGCCCATGACAACAAGCAGCCTGTCCCAGGTGCCAATAGTGTGGAGGTTGGGGGACCCTGGCTTAGAGGAAAGAGGTGATAAACCCTTAGATCTTTGAAGGAGCCTTTCTAGGGAGGTTTATATGCTCTGGCAAGCTTCCCGGTTCCCGGGGCCATGTCCTGGATCCTGAGATGCTCCCAGACTTCACCCTCCTGGAATTTTGCTGTATCTGACACCACTGGTCACTCCCGCTTGTAGTTCTTTTTCCTGTTGGCTTCCAGGTCGCCACCTCTGCTGGCTTCTTCCCAGCCCCCTCACTCCACCTCTCTAGCTGCTTCTGATCTCCTGCACTCCCTGCCCCTGAAACCAACGGTCTCTGAGTATGTGTTGCCCTCTACACTCAAACAGAGTCCAGGCCAGGCATGGTGGCTCACGCCTGTGATCTCAGCACTTTGGGAGGCCGAAGTGGGAGGGATCACTTGAAGCCAGGAGTTTGAGACCAGCCTGAGGAACATGGAGAAACCCTGTCTCTACAAAAAGCTGGGCATGGTGATGCGTGCCTGCAGTTTAGCTACTTGGGAGGCTGGGGTAGGAGGATGAGCCTAGGAGTTTGAGGCTGCAGTGAGCTGCTCAAGCCTGGGCAACAGAGCGAGACCCTATCTCTTAAAAATAAAAATTGGGCTGGGGCAATGGTTCACACCTCTAATCCTAGCACTTTGGGAGGCCAAGACTGGAGGATCACTTGAGCACAGGTGTTTGAGACCAGCCTGGACAAATAAGTGAGACCCCCCGCACCCATCTCTATAAAAACTTTTAAAAAATTAGCCAGGTGAGGCCGGACACGGTGGCTCATGCCTGTAATCCCAGCACTTTGGGAGGCCGAGGCAGGCGGATCACGAGGTCAGGAGATCGAGACCATCTTGGCTAACATGGTGACACCCCATCTCTACTAAAAATACAAAAAGTTAGCCAGGGGTGGTGGTGGGCACTTGTAGTCCCAGGTACTCGGGAGGCTGAGGCAGGAGAATGGTGTGAACCCGGGAGGCGGAGCTTGCAGTGAGTCAAGATCGCACCACTGCACTCTAGCCTGGGTGACTGAGCAAGACTCCATCTCAAAAAAAAAAAAAAAAAAAAAAAAAATTAGCCAGGTGTGGTGGTCCCAGCTACTTGGGAGGCTGAGATGGATGTATGACTTGAGCCTGGGACAGAGTCATGATCACACCACTGCACTCCAGCCTGGGCAATAAAGCAAGACCCCGTCTCCAAAAAACAAAAAATCCATAACCATATCCTCATTTTGTTTCCATATATGTGTAGATACACTGCACACTACTGTACCACACACAAAATAGAAGGAATGTGATGGAAAATGGGAACAGAACTGGCTACATCTGCCTCGCTCATCCCCTTGAAGGCCACCTCATTAGAATGTGAGGTCCTGTCCTCAGCCAATGTTGGCCCTGAAGCCATCTCCAGCCCCTCCTGAGCGCTCCCCTCCTCCTTTCCTGTTCAGCTGCTGGCACCCGACCCCTTATCACCTAGGACCAGCCTAGATTCCCCACAGCCAAGCAGGCGCAAATGCAGCCACCGTTGCCGCTGACAGTTCTGGAATCTGTCACCTCCTTGTCAGCGCCGCGGGTTCTGGTTTAGGCCTCTGTCATTTCATGTCTGAGCCGCTGGAATAACCTCCTAGTCTCCCCATCTCCAGTGGAGTGGGGATCTATTTTAAGACTCAAATGTGACCTTGTACTTCAGCCGTTCGACGTGAGACAGGGCAGTCCCTTGGCCTCACCTTCCACCTCGGACACCTGTGCCTAGCCCGTGGCACGTGTCCCCGTACCTAAACTCATGGCAGGATGAGCGCCCTGGCAGTGGGAACAGGCCGTGCAGAGGCCCTGGGGAGGTAGTGAGCTGGGTCAGGGGGCTGAATAAAGACAGGTTCTTGACCCCACGAGGCTCCGTGAGTGACTCTGGGTGGGATGGAGGCTTTAGCAGGGGAGAGATGGGACCTACTTGGAGCGAAGGTCACTCTGGTTGCCGTGGCCGTGAGGACAAGCAGGGGACCGTGGGAGGCTGCTGCTGTGGTCCAGTTGAGACAAGACTTGGGTGGCAGGCAGTGGACAGGGCAGAGCCGTGAAGTCACCCTCCCAGTACATGAGAGGAGATGTCCAAGCCCAGTCCCTGGTACCACTCCAGCCAGGGGCAGCGAGGAGAGCAGAGTGGAGGGGCCCAGGACGACAGTGGGGCATGGGGAGGCCAGCCTCTGCTGCGAGAGCCCTGAGGTAGGGACGATGGTGCCTCTGACCTTCCCTGCCTCTCCAAGCCCTGTGTCCCGCTGGAAGGAGGAGACCCAGGGGCAAGGCGCAGGGACAGGACTGCGGGACGGTTGGGGACCTGGCCCAGGGTTGGGGGCACACCTTCAGAATCACCCCTGACCCATGAGAGGGTGCTGACCCCCACCCCTAGACTGCCCCTCAGCAGGAGAGTCCGTTTCTCTCCCAAAGAACAGGGCACAGTCACTTCCTGATGCTAAAACACTCAGCATTTCCCTAGAAACAAAGGCAGCCATGCAAACCCGGAGCAAACAGGTTGCGTGTCATTGCCCATCGTGCTTCAGTGGGCTGCGGTTCAGCTTCTAGAGGCCTGAGTGTGAGGTGTGTGCACATCTGGGGCAGGCACATGGTGCCCGGGCAGAGGAGAGGGCAGGCTGCACCTAACTTCGTCTTTCCCCGCAGGACCTGGCGTGGGCCATCAGCTACTACATCCGGTTCTTCGTCACCTACATCCCTTTCTACGGCATCCTGGGAGCCCTCCTTTTCCTCAACTTCATCAGGTGCCTGGGCTTTGCTGGTTCATCCCTGGGCCCTCCACTGGCACCGATGAGGGCTTTGGCATGAGAAGAGGCTCGGACGGCTCCACTTTGCCCAGGGACCTCCCATCCTGGCCCCTTGGCAGGGGCTGTCCTGGGCTGTTGGGACAGTGCATCTGTTCCCACCATGACCGGGCCCCCTGAGGCCCCTGCGCTGAGCTGTGTTCTCTTGCAGGTTCCTGGAGAGCCACTGGTTCGTGTGGGTCACACAGATGAATCACATCGTCATGGAGATTGACCAGGAGGCCTACCGCGACTGGTTCAGTAGCCAGGTAGGGAAGGCAGGGCCAGTCACCAGAGCTGTGCAGAGCCTGGTCCCGGTGTCCATGTCCTGGCCCCATATGCTCTGCACCTGTTGATCCAGGGCTGTGCTGGGCCTCCCGGGGCTGCCTGTGTCCTTCTGCTGGTAGCTTCAGGGCTAAGCAAGAAAGGGTGGCAGGAGTCCCCCGGAGGGACAGGTGGGGCATCTGGATGGGCTGAGGCCATCAGGCAGGACGGTATGATGTGGAGGGGTGACCTGGAGACCCTGGGTAAGGGTGGGCCCCCTGGGAATGAGGCCGGGCCCTTAGGCCTTCCTTTGTTCCCTGACACGTATCTCCTCCACTGACAGCTGACAGCCACCTGCAACGTGGAGCAGTCCTTCTTCAACGACTGGTTCAGTGGACACCTTAACTTCCAGATTGAGCACCAGTGAGAGCGGGGCTGCGGGGAGGCGGGGAGACCCACAGCGGGAGGGAAGCAGCCGCTACCCCGTCTGGGCAGAGCGCAGAATGTAGGGGCCACCTCTTTGTCTCTGTGACAAGGTCTCTGCCCAATCTAGAGCGAGGCTCCCAGCCAGCCCCGCTGAGGTCAGGAGAGGGGCTCCCCTGTGCCATCTCTGGGAGAGGCGTCCTGTGCCCCTTGTCCTGTGCCACTTGGTCATAGTGATAACCACCTCCCTCTACGTGGGCCTGGGATTTTGTAGTTATGGAGCCTGAACATGCACCTCATGACCCTGTGAGGCTAGCAAGGCAGGGCTTGCCTGGAACATTGGCCGAGGGACTGCCCTGCTGCCCCTTGTCCTTGCCTCACCTCTTGTCACTGATTTTTTTATTATTAAAAAATAAAAAATTTAGAGACAGGGTCTCACTCTGTTTCCTGGGCTGGAGTGCAGTGGTGCTTTCTTAGCTCCCTGCAGCCTGGAATGCCTGAGTTAAAGCCATCCTCCCACCTCAGCCTCCTGAGTAGCTGGGACTACAGGTGCATGCCACCATGTCCAGCTAGTTTTTTATTTTTTTGCTTTTATTTATTTATTTTGAGACAGAGTCTCACTCTGTTGCCCAGACTGGAGTGCAGTGGCGCCATCTCGGCTCACTGCATCTTCCACCTACCGGGTTCAAGCAATTCTCATGCCTCACCCTCCCACATAGCTGGGATTACAGGCATGTGCCACCACTCCCAGCTAATTTTTGTATTTTTAATGGAGATGGGGTTTCACCGTGTTGGCCAGATTGGTCTCAAACTCCTGGCCTCAAGTGATCCACCCGCCTAAGCCTCCCAAAGTGCTGGGATTACAGGTGTGAGCCACTGTGCCCGGCCTAATTTTTTATTTTTATTTTTTGTAGAGAAGGGGTCCTGCCATGTTGCCCAGGCTGATCTCAAACTTCTGACCTCAAGCGATCTGCCCGCCTCGGCCTCCCAAAATGCTGGGATTACAGGCATGAGCCACTGTGCCCCACCTCACTGCCTCTTTTTCTAGCATCCTCCAGCTATTTCATTTCTTTTTTGAAAAACATGACACTTTGTCTCTGGCTACCCAGTATCTTCCCAGCTCCGTAAAGCACAAATGCCCTCCTGCTCACAGAGGGCTGCACCCTCCCCTCCACACACATGGCACCCCCCTGGGCACACACGAGGAGCCACACTTTGAGCCTGGTCCTGGCTGCGGACAGGGTCTCCGAGGGCCCCAGCCAGCCTCTGCGCGGGTGGTGGGAGGAGGCAGAAGCAGCATGGCCCTCTGGAGTCCTCACGTTCTGCCCACCCCACATACTCCTCAGCCTCTTCCCCACCATGCCCCGGCACAACTTACACAAGATCGCCCCGCTGGTGAAGTCTCTATGTGCCAAGCATGGCATTGAATACCAGGAGAAGCCGCTACTGAGGGCCCTGCTGGACATCATCAGGTGAGGGGTGGAGGTCCACAGGGGCTGGGCCCTGGGATCACCCATGGTGCAGACAGTGGGATGACAAGAAGGGCTGGGCCCTCCTGGCACAGTTGCCTACCAGGGCACCTGCCTTACCCCTGAGCCTGTGTTAGGAGCTGTCGGGCTTTTCTTCCTGGGCTGCAAGAAGACTATCCCTTTCTGCATGGGGTTCCTTGTGGGCTCTGAGCTGACAGCCCCGAGGCCCAGTGGCAGTGGCAAGCCCTGGTTAGGGCCAAGGGGACGTACCTGCCACCTTAATGATGGCCTCCTCAGCCCCTGCACTCCCTGGGGCTGGACCCATCCTGGTCCCTGACCCTCGTCCATCCCCAACTTTGCAGGTCCCTGAGGAAGTCTGGGAAGCTGTGGCTGGACGCCTACCTTCACAAATGAAGCCACAGCCCTGGACACCGTGGGGAAGGGGCGCAGGTGGGGTGATGGCCAGAGGAATGGTGGGCTTCTGTTCTGAGGGGTGTCTGAGAGGCTGGTGTACGCACCACTCACGTACTCCGTGTTGGATCTTTCTCCCTTTCTCCTCTCCTTTTTCCCTTCACGTCTCCCGCATAGCACCCTGCCCTCATGGGGCCTGCCCTCCTTCAGCCGTCAGCCATGACCCTCCCAGGGCCTCCCAGCCCCTTCTTCCAAGGAGCAGAGATTGGTGGCCACGGTGGGTGGCTCTGTCCTACCTCCACTCTCTGCCCCTAAAGGTGGGAGGAGACCAGCAGTCCCTGGGTCTGGCCTGTGAGCCTCCCCTTGCAGCCTGGTCACTAGGCCTCACCCCTGCTTCAGTTCTTCAGATGCTCTTGGGGTTTCTGGGGGCAGGTCCTAGTCAGGCAGGGCCCATGACCCTCCGGGTCTGGCTTCACTCTCCCTGACGGCCGCCATTGGTCCACCCTTCATAGAGAGGCCTGCTTTGTTACAAAGCTCGGGTCTCCCTCCCACAGCCGGGATCAGTACCCGGGGCCTCTCTTAAGATGGCCAGGGCCCGGGGCCTGTGGGCACAGCCAGCCCAAACCTCAGGCCCTGGAAGAGTCCTCCACCCCATCACTAGAGTGCTCTGGCCCTGGGCTTTCACGGGCCCCATTCCACTGCCTCCCCAACTTGAGCCTGTGACCTTGGGACCAAAGGGGGAGTCCCTTGTCTCTTGTGGCTCAGCAGAGGCAGTGGCCAGGTTCAGGGAGGCGCCAGCTGGCCTGGAGGCTCAGCCCCACCCCCCAGCTTGTCCTCAGGGTGTCCTGAGGTCCAAGATTCTGGAGCAATCCGACCCTTCTCCAAATGCTCCGTTACCAGCTGGGCAGTGCCAGCCAATCCGTGGCCATTTGGCCCCAGGGGATGTGGGCCCTGCAGGCTGCAGGAGGGCACTGGAGCTGGGAGGTCTCGTTGCAGCCCTCCCCATCTTGGGGCTGCTGTGTGGACGGCGCTGCCTCAGGCACTCTCCTGTCTGTACCTGCCCTCACTGTGTTTAACCTTTTGCTCCAGGATGCATTCTGATAGGAGTGGGCAGCAGGGCTGGGCCTTGTGACAATCTGCCTTTCACCACATGGCCTTGCCTCTGTGGCCCTGTCTGTCAGGGAGGGCCAGGGAGGCAGAGCGGGAGGGAGTCTCAGGAGGAGGCTGCCCTGAGGGGCTGGGGAGGGGGTTACCTCATGAGGACCAGGGTGGAGCTGAGAAGAGGAGGAGGTGGGGGTTGGAAGTGTTGGTAGCTGAGTGGACGGGCAAGTGAGAGGGGAGGGAGGGAAGTCCTGGGGGGATCCTGAGCTGCTGTTGCAGAGTCTAACCCACTAATCAGTTCTTAGATTCAGGGGAGGGGTGGGCACCAACAACTCAGAATGGGGGCCTTTGGGGAGGGCGCCTAGTTCTCCCAGCTCTAACCAGCCAGGAGGGACCTGCATCTAAGTGTCTGGGTTGCCATGGCAATGGCATGCCCCCAGCTACTGTGTGCCCCCGACCCCCGCAGAGGCAGAATGAACCCACAGGGAGCTGATTGTAATGTTTATCATGTTGCTTCCCCACCCCTAAATTTTTTGAAATAAAATAAGTAATTTTATTCTCACTTCCTTTGTTTCCTGCACACAAATGCCAGGCCATGGTATTGGGTGATAGAGGAGGCCCTCCTAGCTGGGCCTGGGCACCAGGAGGGGTCCCCACACTTGTATTTCTCTGTATCCCCTCCCTCCCTCCCCAGTGGCCATGCCACCCGCCTCTCCCTGCTGCCTCTGAGGTTCATTCTGGGACCCAGAACTTGGTGGAAATGACCCAAAACCATTGGCCCGTCTTCCTCCTCTCAGCAGCCGACCCCAACCCAATTCTAAAACTGGGCTGGGAGCCACCTCTCAGCAACTAACCCTACCGGAGGAGGGTGGCATGGAGGGGTTTGCAGAGACCCTCCCTAACATCCTCACTCCCCAGATGTCTCCCCAAGTGCAGTCTGCCCTCCCAGCCCTGGGCCAGCCGGCTTCCACAGAGTGCCAGGCCAAACACAATTCCTGGCCTCCTTGGAAGGGGCTGAAGAAGGCTGGGCGCGGTGGCTCACGCCTGTAATCCCAGCACTTTGGGAGGCTGAGGCGGACAGATCACGAGGTCAAGAGATCGAGACCATCCTGGCTAACATGGTGAAACGCCATCTCTACTAAAAATACAAAAATTAGCTGGGCATGGTGGTGCGTGACTGTGGTCCCAGCTACTCAGGAGGCTGAGACAGGAGAATCGCTTGAACCCGGGAGGCAGAGGTTGCAGTGAGCTGAGATCGCGCCACTGCTCTCCAGCCTAGCGACAAAGTGAGACTCCATCTCAAAAATAAATAAATACATACATAAAATTAAAAAGGGGCTGAAGAAGGCTCTGGAGGCTGATGATTCTGTCTTGTGGCTCCCGTGCCCCTATATGCAGTGGCTCATTCAGAACCCACAGGCTGTGGGGAGGCTGATATCATCCTAGCCCAGGGTCACCAGTTCATAGGCACAGAGATTGGGTCCTAGGTCTGTCTGACCCCAGAGCTTGGGAAGAGTCCAAAGGAACATGCCAGGGGCACTTGTACAGTCGGTCTCCCACGGACCCCCATGCTGCTCCGTTGTCACCTCTGGGATGGCTCTCCTGGCATGGCTGAGCCTGGGAAGGTGTGCTAAGGAAGGGCCAAGAGGCACTGGCTAGTCAACACCTCGGGGCCTCCCCTTGGCTTTGTAGCTACTCCCAGCAGGGCTGGGGAAGGCTCCTGAGTAGATCTCAGCCCCCGCCTGCTTCCCCAACCCCTGCTTTGCCTGGCCGAAATCCAGCCGGGTAGGGACAGCCAGCAGACTGGGTTGCGGTATGTATGGCTCCCCAGTGGCCATAGGGTGTCCTGAGTAGGGCCTGGCATTACAGAAGCCCTGAGCGAGGAGGCAGACACACCCCAGATTCACCAAGTGGCTCTGGGGAGTCCTTTGCCCTCCCTGGCCCTGTGGGCCACAGTCCCCAGGGGCATGCTAGAGGGGCCCCAAGGAGGCCATTTTCTCAACACCCACCTACCCTAGGCCTTTCACTCCTGGTGGACCCACTGACGGCGGCCTTCAAGGTTGCAAGACCCTGGCAAGCACGCCTCCCACCCTCTGCCATGTGCCTGTGACCCGCCTCCAGGATGGTGACCAGCCCAGGTCTCCCAACCCTGCCAGTCGGAAATCTATGGGTCCTTCACCCATAACAACCAGGGGGCTTGGAGTTGGGGATACTGAAGGCCAGATGGACGCTGGGGCTATGAGGGCACCAGGTAAAACTTGACCCAGTCTCACCGGGCACTTGGAGCTTCTCTGTGACTTCCCCAGCCCTGCCCAGCCCTACCTTGCCCTTGAATACTTCCCTGGGTCAAGAAGCTGAGGACATTCATATCTTCTCTCTGCTTAACCGCCCCCTCCTGTCCCTGTACTCAGCTGACCCCCTTGCTAACACACCTAGAATTGTGAGTTTCTAATCCCTATCCCCTGCCAAAGTCATGGTGCCCCAATATTCAAGGCCCTGGGTGATCAAACCCCAACACCTCCATCACAGGCGAAGAGGCTGAGCCCAGAGAGAGGACAGCACTGGTCTGAGGCCACACAGCAGCAGGATCCTGCTCCTAACCCGCAGGCCCCTGGCCACCTCTCCTGCACGGAAAGGGCTGTTCCCAGACCCTGCCCCCATCACATCAAATGTCACACAGCTCCCAGGAGGCCCAGCGGCTGGCTGGAGGGGTGGGGGCAGTGGAGGGCAGTTAGTCTCTGTGGAGGAGATAAGAGCGGGGTAGCTACACAGATAAAAGGGTATCAGCTTTGTGGGTGGTGGGGGCATCTGCAGCACCCAAAGCCTAGGCTGTGTGTGTGTGGGCACGGGGGGTGGTGCTGTGGCACCACAGGCAGATCCTTGGGGTGTCTGGCTGGACACTCTGAAGCCCCCTGTGCCTACTGGGAGGGGAGAGGAAGCGTTTACCCACCTGGGCCAGGGCAGAGCTGGCAGCCACTGGGGCTGGGCTTGAGCTGCCATCAGGAGCGGCTGGCCATTGCTTGTGTAACACAGTGCCTTGGGCCCATTGGGACTCCTCAGCTGGCCTGGCTGTACCCTCCCCTGAGAGGTGTGCCCCTCTGGACAAGAAGCTGCCTCTCAAAGAGTCCCTGTTCCAACATCTGAGAGGGAAATGGGGTGCCGTGGGGGCTGCCTGCCCCAGGCTGAAACGCCACTGCCCTTGGGACTGGTTTTCCTTTTCTGAACCAGACTGGCATCCAGAACAAGCAGCCACCCACCGTGCTGAGATTTCAGGATCATGTCCCCATCGTCCTCCACCATCACACTTTGCTTTGGATTTTAAAGGCATTCAAGTCTTTCTTTTACATCGTCCCATTCGAGAGCAAGTGTCTAAGAGAAAGAGTGACAGCAGCCAAGAGCTTGGAATAGACCAAGCTCCCAGTACTCGTGGTGGCTCACTGCCTGAGGACATAGTGCGGTGGGGGGAGGAACTTTGAGAAGCCCACGGCCTGTCCTGTCACAAAGGAGTTTGTTGACCCCCTGCCCGCCGCCAGCTACTCCCAACATGCCAGGCAGGGGCTGGCTCTTGGGCATCATCATTTCCAACATCTGCCTGGGCTGGGAGACCCGGAGAAATGTTAATAATCAAAGGAACAAACCAACGCTGCAGTTACGGCTTCCTCTGGGCCCACGCCTCTTGTACAGACAGTAAAAAAGTAACACGGTCTCAGAGGCTCAGAGGTTCCACCAAAGCCTCTTTCCTTTTACAAACCCAGCCCCAGTGCACTAAGCCTTTGTTCTGCGTCTAAGAGACCTACAGATGGAGAAGGGGGAGTTCAACTCAGGACTGAGGGTGACCTTTTCCCAGGGGATCTAGCATAGGGGCCAGTGGGGCAAGAGCAAAGATTCCCCTGCCAGTGATGGATCCCAGGCAGTCCAGAGAAACCTAGGCGTGGCTGCTGAGGGCGGGGCCTCCCAGGGGTCCGCGAAGCAAGTTACCAGGGGCAGCAGGGAGCACGGCCAGCCCCACACTGGCGCAGATGCTCCGGGCGCCCGTGGGTGGCGCTGCAGGCTCGGCTGTTGTGGGTCCTCGGTGTTAGCATCTCCCTGGAGAGTGCCTCGGAGCCAGCGCACAGCGATCTCTACCAGGGTGTGGACGGAGGGAATGCCATTCGGAGCCTGCCCTGGCTCAGGGCACCCGCGTGGCACCAGGAGCCAACGGGATTTAAACAGGCAGTGACAGGAAGGGGTAGTCCCCGCAGAGGGAACAGCCTGTGCAGAGACCCTGAATGCAAGGCGCGCCCTGGGTATGAGAAGTGTGTGTGTCTGAGGCAGGAAGTACCTTTCAAGGAGCATCCAGTCTTACCCTCAGTTTCCTTGAAAACTGAGGCTCAGGGAAGGCAAAGAACTTGTCCCAGGTGACAGAGCAAATGGTCACCTTGGGGAATTGGGTTGTGTGCACGAAATTTGTGAATAAACTTCTGAGCCTGCTGCTGTGCCCTTTGGTAAGAGCCTTTCTTCCACCACCCTAGGTACTACTGCTCAGAGGGGTCAAGGAACTCCCCCAAGGTCACACAGCCTGCGTCCTGGCAGAGACAGGACTTGCCCCCACTCCACCCCACCCCACCCCCAAGTCTGTCTGACTTGAGTGAATCAGGGTGGGGCCGGGTGGCACCCGGAGGAGGGCAGGTATCTCACAACCAAGCTGAAGGGGCTGCCACCCTCTGCTTCCCTGGCCCTACCAGGAGGCCGCTGCTGACACTGTCCTGAGCTGGGAGGCCATAGGGAGCTTTGGGCTGTCTGCTCCTGGGCCTGGGAGATAATGTGAGCTGAGGAGGACCTCCCCCAGTGCTCTCCTGCCCCAGGAGTCAGGGTGAGGGGAACAAGACCCAAACACCCTGTCTGTCTGTCTGTCTGTCATTCTCTCAGAAAACACACACCAAGGTCTCCTGGGCCAGGCTGTGGGCTGCCACCAGCCTCTAGCAGCAAATGAGGTCAGTATTCCAGGTGCTGTCACGGAGACCCCAGCCACAGGCTGGGCAGGGAAGGGGAGGAGCCCTGCGGGTCAGAGAGAACTTTCTAGAAGGGGAGCCTCTGGGAAGAGCTGCAAGAGCCCATGGGAATGTGCGACGGCCCCTCCCCGCAGACAGGAAGCAGGTGCAAGACTACAGTGATCAGCCTGAGCACTGAGGAGCTTTCTAGCTGTCTTGGAAGAGAAGTTCATAGGCAGCAACGCTCAGAGCCACCTTGTGTGTATGTGGAGTGGGGGGCGGGTTGATGGGGCAGCAGGGTTTCCCCTCCAGCTCCGTCCCACGGAGGATGGGCCTGGGAGGGGTTGAAGAAAAATTGGCAGAATTTGCACCTTTTCCACCTCCCAAAGAGAACCCAGTCCAGACCAATGGAAGCCCAAAGAGTGTGGGGCAACCCCTGCAGCTGGTAGGGCGACCCCGGCTCCCACTCTGGAAAGGCCTCACGGAAATCCTCGCTCAGCTTTCTTTCTCCAGCTGCCGACATTTCAGATGAAACCCTCAGCTCAGCTTGGAGCTGTCAGGCTGTGTGGGTGCTGGGGACTGGGAGGTCCAG